CCAAGAAGCACACAAGACGGTCAGGCTGTGCTGTCTCTCGGCGGAGTGCTATTGTCGGCGAGAATGACTGAGCCAAGGCGATGCGGGTCGACTTCGCTCTGGATCCGTGTTGTGCCATAGGGCAGGCCTGCGCCGGACCTCAGGGAATTCTTGCCCTTGATGAGCTGCATGAGCATGAAGTTAAGAGCACACTTGATGCCTTGTTCCTCGCCCCGCTTGACGATATAGCCATTAATGTAGTCGATTTCTGGTTTCTTGCCATGGCGGAGGTCCTCTCGCATACTACTGGAATTCCGCGCAGTCCGTTGAGTCACGCCCATAAATAGCTGCTCGAGTCGCTTGGCAGAGAACCGATGCTGGACGTTTGGAATACCTTTGAGCTCAGGCAGACCGCGGATGACGAGAGAAATCTCGGCAAGGAGAAGCCTTTGGACGGGCAATAGCTCCTTGTTGTTGAGTAGTGCGCCATTGGGAACATCAAGGAGTGCAGTGAGAGGGTTCAAGATGCAGTTTGCAGAGAGTTTCTCAAGCTGCAGTTGCAGTAGATCCAAGTATGGAAATGCTGCGCATGCCAAAACTGGTGATCTCGTCAAGGTGCGAAGAAGGTAACGTGAAGAGAGGTTCGCAAAGAGTTCTTTATCGGTAGGATGATGCTTCTTCCTCTCATCTTCTGACAACTCCCACAGGTGACGCACTGGTCCCTTTGGAGGAAGCGGGAAACGATCGGGATCTCGACATATACCCAGAGCTATTGTACCGTATCCAGCATGGACGACTGTACAAGGTGCATCCATGTACGCACCGTGAGAAACAATCCCTAGCATGTAGGTGGGACGTGTCTGAGGGTCGGTGAAGACCTCTTGATTGAGTTCATCTATTTGGCCAAGACCGTTTTGCATAAAACAGATCGTTGTCCTTGCATCGACACGGTGCTTGACGGAACGGAGGGCAGCGACGGTGGTGGGACCTTTGACGGCGACTATCAAGGTATAGATGTAAAGCTCGCCTGATGGCATCTTCTCTCCTTCTTCGACAGGGTTGGACTGTGGTTGCTCCCGGCGTCTATCAGGTATAAACTCCCATCGCGCCTCGCCATCCTCTGCATCACCGTTGAACAGGTCAACATCGTAACCGGTCTGCTCATCGTTGATATCGTTTTGCTTGTTTATCAAGTTGATAATTCGCCCCCCTCTCTTGAACGCATCATATTGCTCTTGCCGGTGGATCATCAGGGTGATCGGAGGAGGATTGGGTAAACATCTCAGAGAATGGGCGACCAAGGTGCCGATGCTTCCGAGGCCGAGAATGTGTACACGCCTAGTGAGCAGCTGTTCATTGTCTGGACTTGGTAGGGCGGACTCCTCCAATGGTTTCGACTCGAATGCCGGAACGTCCTGAGAGGGCTCTGGCGACGGGGGATCTCTCCACCAAGATCGAGCGTCTGCCATGGTTCTAAACCTGCGGGGTGCTTGGTTAAGACAAGAGGCGCTCTGTAGCCACAGGCCTGCGCTCGCAACCTTTGGCCATTTGCGCACTGCCCGGGGAAATGGGCGAAGAAAGAGTGGTTGCGACAGCTTGAGGGTCAATGTGAAGTTCGCTGGAACACTGGGGTTGGCGGCAAAGTTGCGTAATTATACCCCCCACCGTGTGCTTTGCGAGGTCAAGATATCGTAACCATTCTGATAAGGCCACTGGAAATCGATCTGTATGGTGAGCAGAGAGATAAGGAACGATGATGAGAGTGATGGCGGAGGGACTAAGCTACAAGCTGGTAGAGTGAGTCGCGGTCGGAGAATGCATACAATCATTCCTGGTGCGGGGAAGATTTTTCATTTCTATTTACTCCAAATTCACCTGCCTGCGCCGCTGCGACAAGTCAACATTTTCTCAACTTCTTGATCGTGCACTACCTTGCGAGACAACTCGCTCTTTGCATCGCTGCCATGGACACCAAGGCGGTCCTCGAGCTCGTTGGTGAGCTGGAGGAAAATCTCGAGGATCTTGAAGATAATCTTGAGCCGGTCCTTAACGGCGCTCTTTCAGCCACCACCAAAAAGCTGCCCTTGCTCGACCGCGCGAAACTCAATGTTCTCCTTGTGTACTCGATCGAGTCCTTGATTTTCTCCTACCTCAAGCTTCATGGTGTCCAAGCAAAAGAGCATTCTGTCTTCAAGGAGTTGACCAGAGTCAAGCAGTATTTTGAAAAGATCAAGCAAAGCGAAGCCACACCGCAGAATTCTCAGCCAAATCTCTCCCTGGACAAAGATGCTGCTGGGAGATTCATCAAGCATGCTTTGGTATGTCGTTGTCGACATCTCACACTTTGGACGGGGAGCTAAGTCATCCTAGGCTGGAAATGAAAAATATGATCTGCAACGCGCCGAGCGTGAGGCCCGTGAGAAAGTCCTCGCTAACAGAAAACTGAAAGCACTCGAGTCTGCTATGAAGGCAAAAGCCGAGGCGAATACAAACTCGGATGCACATGTCGATGCGACTGATATACTCGCACAAGCTACCCAATTAGCCTCGGTCCCATTGGATGATCCATCATCATTCGAGAGCCTCGCGGACAGTGACTCTGACGGCGAAGGCGATGGAATGAAATTACCCCAGTCGCTACAGCCACATCCGCAGCTGCAGGGGGGTAAAAAGCGGAAAAACAGATCTAGAAGCAAATCTCAGAGAGCCAAAAGAAAGAGGGACACTGAGCTCCAAGATGTTAGGAATGAGGACCAAGCACAGGAGCCTGCAGGACACAAAGCATCCAAAAAGGGAACAAAGGCAAAGCGAGGTCAGAATACTACCTCGAAAGCCGTCTAACTCTTCCTATGGGCGACCTTCCCGCACTACTTTGATGGCACGTTGATCTCCTTGGCCAGTATGTGACTTGACACATTTGCCCTTACTGAAGCCTTGCTAGACGAATGTACAACATCATTCCCGCCTTTCCCTGTCGATACTTTATGGCTTTGGTATTTTACAACTCCGGCAGGGTGATATGCACGCTTGAATTTGAATCCTTTTCCCTTGGTGTCCTTTGACTCTCCTAGTCTGTGTCTAGCCGATGCTCGTGCTTGTCCAGGAGCACAGTCCAACTGACCAGTCTCATATGCCATTTGAGAAGTCGCCAGAGTGAAATGGGCAAAGAGGACAGGAAGGTGGCTGAGCCTGATGGAAGGTTGGCCGACGAGGTTGACTGAATTAAGGGTGGGGAGCCTCATCTGAGACCCCTCCTTTCCAGCTAGGTGGACAACTTCACAAGACGCACCGAAGCTCGAGATCCGTCTTCCGACAAGGTCTCCCAACCTCGCCGCGCCATATCCAGTCTGCCACACTCCTCCCAAGTCAGATGGCAGACGATATTACTGTGCAGTCGTTGTGATTGGCCGACAAGGCGACATGCAGACATAGCTATACCTTTCAAAGGGTGAATGTTGAGCCGGAAGGATATGCCTCGTAAACATGAGAACAGGACGGTGCACGCACAAAGAATTCCGGATTACCTTTCGAAGGAGGCTCCTGTTCTTGGGCTGGTGGCTTAGCTCTTGCATGTCCTACAGAAAGCCGTCCTCCCCAACAAACAATGCTCATCTTGGTGCTTCGTCTGCTTGCTGTCGCGACCTGTCTTTCGGGGGTTGCGATGTGTGCATCTATCAGCGAGGAGGTCTTCAGAGACCAATTTGAGAGCAGGAGCATCGACCCGGCTACGGAGAAAGCGGACATCCTTGGACCATCCAAAACAGCCCCGACAACGAGAGAGAGTTCGAGAGTCGGTGCCTCCTCACTAGTCTGCCACAATCTCGACTGGAGGACCAAGCACACCTTCTCGGACACGTCAGTATTCCTTACCCACTTTATCGGCATCTTCAGAAAGTCTGTGCGAGCCATCATTGATCGTTGCTCGCCCTTGCGGTCTGCGAAAGAGTCTCCTTCGCTGGCAACGACGAAGTCATTTTAAGCAGGCAGTGGAAAACGATGTGGTGACCTAAAGGCATTCAACCATTCCATCCGTCGACGATTGAGTCCTGATGCAGGGGTCGGCGACGATACCGACGCATCATATTCTCGAGCACCTCTACATGAGAACGGGTTGTGGCCTCGAGCATTTCCAGCGTCCTGCAAACGTTCTATCATGTCGAGAGAGTGGAGGTGGCCTTCCAACGCCCCTATAGAGATTGCAGACCATCTTTCAAGGAAAAGGACGATTTTATTCTTTTGTTGACCCTGTCCTAACATCGATGCCGACCGCTATCAAGTCGATGGTCTCGACACATTTCTCGCTCGATATGCTGTTATCTTCGTTGCCACTCCCGGGTGCAAATGGACAGATAAATCCAGGAAACGGACTAGACCCAGATCATCCGAAGCTAGAAGGATGTCTTGGATGTCTTAGGTCTGGCCAAAAGACGGAACAGAATGTTGTGCAGAGAACCAGTTTATCGGGTGTTCTGCTTAGACTCCAACTTGGCCGGGAGATAGTCTGGGACCACGCAAGCCAACACCCCATAGAATGTTGGGGAATAGGATTATCTTGAATGGAACGAATGAATTTTGCCTTGCTCCCGGGAGGTGTCTCCGTGGATTATGTATCATATCACACTGCATCCATCCATTTGTCCGTTGAGTTCCATTTCCAGCCGCCATTTCTCGCTTGTACTCAGCTTCTCGCGCTGAATGATGCTAGCGTAAAAGGAGCTAATATTAAGTACTTGAAGCTTGTAAGCGAAGCTCTCACCAGATTAAACCCAAAAGAAGACCGCTTGCTAACCGCTCAACGCTCAAAAGACAAACACTGGGAAGAGTAAAACACCAAACAAGATGGAGCGCCGTGGTCCAAGATCCGTCACAACTTTTCAACGTCCGTATGAAAACATTCAGAAAGCTCTCCTGCACATTTCAACAACTTCAATCGAGAAATCAATCTTTTCCTCTGCACATTTTTGCTGTGCAAATATTAGATCAAGGCAAAAACACATCAATTTCAAAGTTTCTTCTTGAGATCAGTCATCGCCTACAAACGCTGGCATCCACTCCTGTCCCGGATACGCAGTGGCACTCATTGGGATCTCTTCTTCCGATTCATATCCCTCTGCCTTTGACCCTGGTAATTCTGCAATGATTCCGGGCGTACTTTTGTCTCTGGCACTAGTGCGACGCGCTTCTCGTGGCGAGGTTGGGTTATGAGATCCGTCCAGAACTGAAACGTTGCGTTCCAACCCCTGACTTGTGTTGGTATTGATTTGCGCAGGCTGAGTACCAGATTCGACGCTGACGGGCGTCTCGCTCCTCGCTGTCCCGCTTTCAATCCGCTCCCTAAGTAGCTGCTTCTTTCGCCGCTCGTTTGCGTCGTCTTCGAGCCCAGGCACTGTGATTGCAAAGGGCCTTTCCTGATCATCCTCGGGGCGTGCGATGCCACCCACGGGGCTGATTTTCTTGGAGCTGAATGTACCGAGCGTGTTGTTAACGCTAATATTTTGATGGCCTTGATGCTGGTTGGAGTCTAGGTCATCGGAGCCGGGGCGTCCGAGTCGTGGTGAGCGTGAACGTTTGTGGAGGTCGATAACATGGTGGCGAGGGTCTCGTTGAGATGGGGGTGTTGGTTGCCCGAGAGGAGGTGAGGTAGATCCAGCTGTGTTTGTCATTCCAGGACTTGGGTTTGGATTGTACGGAGCAGAAGCGAAGGAAGTCGGCCGAGGATAACCTTCTGCTGGGGCAGTAGCGGGAGCGTAATACTGATTACGGTTTCCACTACTTGTGTCAATGCGAAGATCGGATGGCCGACTTTGGGTGGGGTTTAAGTAGGGATATGTAGTGGACGGATATGATCCCCCAGGCTGTTGATGACCTTGTAGCGGGGATTGAGGAATTTGTCCTGGGTAGGGATAACTGGTTAGTCCTGACTGGTGATGATATGGAGATGCTCCTCTCGGATATTGAGATGGTTGAGATGGATTTTGACTTAGTGGATATGTAGAATGAGGGTGTTGTGACAGTCCAGGCCCTTGATGGAAATAGCCACCAGGTCCAGCCGGGTTCTGGCTATAGGGAGTTTGCGCAGAATATGGCTCGGGGGACATGACACGCTGTGTTTGTGCGGAAATTGGCTCAGGGGATATGACACGTTGAGTGGTAATTTGTTGCTCAAGTGCTTTGGTCTGTAAAGAGGGAGTGGGTGCTGTGGCGGCCCGTGTGTTGTTGTTGCTGCTGCTGCTGCTCTTGAAAAGTTTGCCTCCAAGCCCTGAAAATCTCTTCTTCTTGCCCTCTGTGCTTTCTGGTGTGGGAGCTCGAAGAACGTCTTTGGACAGCCGCCTTGCAGACTGAGATGGAATATTCGACGGAGGAAGTTGCCCAAGCTGATCCTGGTGGCTGTGTTGGCTACTTTGCTCTGACGAGATACTGTCATTCCGGCGCAGGAAGCTACCACGCTTCTCCTTCTGCATCATCTCTGCATTGTCGAGCGGACTTCCGACTCTACCTGATTTTTGGAGCTTCGAGCGTGAATGCGAGCCGACTCCGAAAAGCTTTCCAAGTGTACTCTTCTTTCGTTCTGTTTGCGCGCCCGGAAATGCCGGTTGTGAAGACACTGGCTGTACGGCGGGAACAGGAGATGGACCCATTGATTGACGATATTGATGCATCGGCTGGCCACCAAGATGGTTCAGAAATTCTCTGGGCTTCATATCATACCCAATAGGAGCACTAGGGCCAGACATGTAAGGGGACTGCTCCTGGTAACTCTGACGATTTAGTCTTTCCACCGAGACGTTTGAGTTCGACCCAGGACGAGGCTGGGAAGGGGCCTGACCCGAATATTGCTGAGACCTGAGTGCACTCGGTAGTGGCGTTCCACTGGCTAGTACTTGAACATTACTTCGACCGTTCCTTGGTGCAGATATTTGTTTTGGCGAACGATATTCCTGCACGTATGGGCCCGGAATACGATATTCCTCTTCCATGAATGACTGCCGTTGATGTATTGCCGTATTCTGTTGCTGTCCCTTTTGCTGCTGACGTAGACGGTCAAGCTCTTCTTGAGGTCGCCTTGCACTAGGTAAAGGGCTTTGAGAAGAGGGCATCTGAGCACGATTCATTGGAGGCTGCTGGAGCTCAGCTGCACGTAGAGCTGGGTGATTGTCGACATTCAGATCAACACCGAAAGTTCTGGAATATGACCTCGACTGTCTTTGACCTGGTAAATTCGCCTGATCCGTAACCTCTTCGACACTGACTTGTGACATCTCCTTACTCAAGCCCGCACTGCTTTGGCCCTGGCTTATGGGACTCATTGGCTGTGATGGGATCCTGTTGAGATCTGGCTCCTGGATCTGCTCTGACTGGTGGATTGCACCGATACCTTCAATACCCGCGAATGAGAAAGGCCGATGTTGGCCAGGAGTGTATTTTTCGCGGCCTTGCTGCACTGGGGGCTGCTGGGTTAGTGGTTCAATTATAGAACGTTGCTCTATTGCCTCGACACCTGGTTTTGAATCTTGTGCATGGAGAGGGAAGTCCGCTGTCGAAGTCTCTTTTGGGTGGTCCTCAGCACCGAGAGTGGGTTGATTCACTGCTGTTGCTGTTGCAGTCAACTGGGGTGGCTTTGCAGGCCGGGCTCCCTGTTCTTCATGAGGGCCAGGTATTGGATCGACTAGTTTCTCGTCGGCAGGTGATAGAGATACGCTCCTTCTGGCATATTGCTGTCCAGCACCGGATCCAGGACTGGGACTAGCACTGGACACATCCGAGATGACTGACCGGCGTCGGTGTTGGGGTACTTGCAGGCTCCGATCACTGGAGTGAACATCCGATGTTGACCCGTCATGGTGCTCCGTAAAAGGCTTTGGTGCAGCGAGAGCATGCGCAACCAGACCATGAGGCTCAGCGGCGATTGCCTGGGGTTGAGTTGCAGTGCTTTCCCTCTGGCTGATACTCTGGTCCACAGCTCGATGCGGCGATTCAACAGGTGATTGATCGGTAGGTCTGGTCAACTGGCTGATTGAACGGCTGGGCATGCCATCATCTTCGCGGTGCTCTTGCTCGCTATCTAGGGCCGAGATCGCTGGGCTCGGAGCAAGTCCAGACACGATAGGAGTAACAGGTGTGCCGCCGTCGGTTGGTATTGCCATGACATGCTCCAGCTGTGGCCGGGAGCTATCTCGACTGCCTGGAGCAGGTGTGGACGAAGCTGATGTGTCTGGCTGCAGGATCTGATCCAAATCACTAGTCCGTGACCTCTTAAGGTCCGGGTTTGAAAACCAATCAATGGGAGACGCGGGCGTGATGCTTAATGGAATTTGTGGTGGACCGTCGAGGAATGTGGAATCTCGTGGCTGCGACGGGGAGACAACGTCTTCGGGCTCGTCCGGAAGGGGTTCAGCAGACTTTCGTCGGTTGGCCATTATACCCTAAAACAAACCGTCAACCAAGGGCTCATTCAAGGAAACCTGACAAAGTAAAAAAGTGGATTTCCATTCGTTACTATTTGAGGATGCCAGAGGAGAAACGCCGTTAATGTACCCGAGCCAGGTTCTGGTATCCCTGAGAGGATGAAATCCCGCCATAGCATCACATGCATGTCATTTGGTGCAAAGAAAAAATATTACAGGCAAGACAAGGAAAGGGGGAAGATCAATGGACTACCTTTTCGCCAGAGCTCGCGTGGCGCATCTTCTCCTTTCCTTTCGCAAATAGACCTTTGGCGGCACTGCCCGCTTTGCCACCGAATCGTCCAGCAGCTGCCATTAGCCTCTTCCCATCCTCTTGCATGTGTCCAGCTGATTCTGTCAACATTCGTCGGGGCGATGGTTTATGCGCGGTGATGCTCTCGGCAGTGTCCAGTGAAAGCCGCCCATTCGTAGCAAATAGTTCAGAATTTTCCGGGGTTCTCATTGACAACAGCCAGTTCTCCAGCTGCTCGTTAGGCGCGGCATAGAATTGCCTGCTGTCATCGAATGCTTTGATGCGTTCTACTGGCGAACCGAGATTCATGATCGTACGGAAAGTCGGTGGAGCGCTAAGGGGTTGTTGTGAAAACTGGGATGCTTCTGCATTAGTTATGGGTACTCTGGTGGCTTGTACTGTTTGGATTGGCTGGAGAGAGGGCAGAGTGGCCTGCCTAGCTATAGGTTGATTGACTTCAATGCTCATTCGGGCCGATTCGGGAGAGCTGGGCGCGGGTGGGATCTGAGCGGTTATCGTATCTGGAGAACTCGTAGAAGGGGGGCTCAATTGTTTAGGTGTCGACGCAGAGGGCGGTTGTGAGCTGCCCGTCTCCCAAGAGAACCGCTGTTGAAGGAATGGTTTACCAGCTGTTGGCAATCTCTGCTCAACAGGAGACTCTGTTTGGCCGGTGCCCTTTATATCTGCGTTAACGATCGGTGGTGTAGGCGCGTCCCGAGGAATTGAAGTGGAAGGTTGTCGAGGTGTCGCCATGGATTCAACTCGTGATCGGTCAGAGTCCGTCAAATTTTTCCCATTGCTCAACATTGTTCCTGCTGACTGAGGGGTGATGACTTGTAGAGGAGCGAGTCTCCTAGACCCAGCTTCTGCATCAGTGACAGCCTGAGAGGTTGTCCCTTGGGATTCACTGTTTCCTTCACTAGCTTTACCTTCCAAATTTGATGATTTGGGGGTTAAACTCTTCACAATTTCCTGTTGTAATCGCTCATTGTCGCTCTCAGTTGGAGTATCTTGTGGCATTGAGACATTGGGGATCGGTGGACGAGGACTCGACGTATCGATCAGTCGACCGGTCCGCAAAGGGGCGGGTATGTAGTCGACGTCTGAACGGGATACCCCCGCCTCGGCAGAGGCTGTGGTTGATGATGTCCTTGATCTCGACACGGGCGGAAGATGAATCGGGGTGGTTTCTGCCTCGGATTTGGCTGTGGTCTCTGGGATCTCTTGTCCATTCTCCGCACGTTGCTTGTCGCCCTGCTTCTCTGGCACCGTGTCGGATGATGCTGGCTCTGCCTCCCCGCTTGACGAACTCGACGCGTCCCATTCATTTACGCTCTCTTCTTCTGACGGTTCATGAGAGCCTTCCGCTTGTTCAGTCAGTCGGTGGCCAGCCAATGCACCAGCTAGAGCACTCCCAGCAGAGGCAGCTGCGGCGAAGGCTTTCTGGGTGACGCCGTCGCCGTCAGAAGTGATATGTATCGGGGTACGGGCGGTCGGTATGCTCTCGGTGCTATCCACTCGGCCTTGAGTAAATGGAGGCAGAGGCAATGAAATATTTCTCTGAGCTTGCAAAGGCGTGCTTGTGCCAGGAGTTGCTGGGCCTGCGGATGAGGCGTATGACTGCCACCCTCCAGGAATTACAGGACGAAAACTCTCTAGACGTGCTTGGGGCAATGGGCGTCCTTGCCCGATACTTGACGGTGGCGCTTGGGCATCTAGAATACCGGGACCTAACCTTCCAAAACTCGATTCTGGTTTGGTTGCAGTATCATTGGCCGCAGTTGTTGGCGGAGCGTCTGATCTCGACTTGAGTGGGGCGTCATCTGCCACCTCTTGATTAGGTTCTGGAGGAAGCGGTTTGTCTCCCAGTTCTCTACCACGAGCTGGTTCGTCCGGTACATCATGTGTAGGTTTGTCATCAACAACTGAGCCATGTTGTGGTTGTGGGAATTTCTGAGGTCCAACTTCGAGTGGTTTCTTTGCGGGACTGTTGTCGCGACTTGGAGGATTAACGTCTCGCCGATACCCAGAACGGATAAAGGGTGGCCGAGAAAGGTCTTCGCCCTGAGACGGCTGTGCCTCGCCAGGCTTTAACGTCGTGGTTGATGTCGGATGAGATTCTAAATGCACCGACTCTTCGGGAATGGCGGCTTGTTTGGTCTGGATGACGGAGGGAGCAGGGGCCAGATCATGCCTGCGACTTATTATGGGGCTGATATCTGTAGTTGAGGCACTACTTGATCGATCAACAGTCCCTGATGTAGAGATGGGAGAAAAGGGTGACTGATTCCCGCTCTGATCGAAAGCCTGCTGGACAACAGATCTGTAACCGAGGGTTGGTTGGTGCTGCAAGCCCTGCCTTGCTGGTTCAGCACTACTCCTCTCAATGGCGTTAATCTGCGAGGACACTTGTGCTGATCCATCGCTGGACGACTTCGCCATCTTGGGTGTATGTTCCGGCGCCGACTTCTCCATCACACCGAGGTCCACAACACCAAATCCAGACATTCTGTCGATTGGAGGCAGTCCAAAGGACCCCTGCCTATTTGACGATTGATCCGTCTCAGGAATGCCTTCGGTAATTGATACATTACGAGAGATGCTCGAAGCAGATACTGGGTCTGGTCGATCGGTGTAAACGGATGACGCAGTAGTATCATGTCTGGATATCCCCACAGTGTTATCGTCGGTCCTTGTTTCGTTCGGTTGTTGGCTGTCACCAGTTGGTGTTTTCACCAGATTTTCGAACCCATACTCGCTTTTGCGCTCCGGCACCGTGTCCAAGGTGGGTTTCAGGCGACGAGTAGAGTCCGAGTCGTCCACTGCTGTCTGCATAGCGCCTGTAGATTCCTTGGGATCTGAGCATGTCGAGCGACCTCCAACAGAGCCTTCTCTGGCCGGGTTTGATGCTGAATCAATGCTTGGACGAGATGACTCTTGCGACTTGCGCACTTTCTCCATCTCTTCTGGCATACGTTTGTAGATATCTGATGGTCGGATGAAGACTGGTGGAGGACGATCATCAATGCTATTACGAGGTCCAGAGGATGTCGAGGGCACAGGCGAATCGCTGGGTCGCATGAAATCTGGCTGAGACGGCTGTTGGCTTAAACTTGCTTTCCGCGGAGGGAATTGTCGGTGAGACGCATTGGAAGAACGGCTGTCTGGTCTCCTGGGACTTTCGTGACGGTGATACATGTCACTCAGAGGGGGCCGGTTGCCCGAGCCAGAGAGGCTTTGCTGCGGGAAGCTGCCTGGAGCTGAGAAAGGCACTTCTTCATATGGCGGATATTGTCTCCCCCTTGAGCCTGGACGGAAGCCTCCTGGAGGCGTAGGACCTTGTCCCTGGGTATTTAAACGAAGAGAAGCCTGCATTCCATAATTTGTAGCATGTGTTTCATAGTCATGCTGAGGCTCTGGGAAAGGCGAACGCTGGGTTGTGGGGTATGCTGATTCAAATCCAGCAGAGGAAGAGAGATGTCTCGTTTCATCGCCCCGATCGAATGAGGGTCGTTGGCCGGTCCGAGGAGGGGAAGGATTGGTAAAGCTTCGATTGGGGGGATAGATGCTGGGCTGTGCGCCCCATGCAGGATGTCGAGGGTTGTCCGCGGACACAGGCTCGGGCTCATCATAATCATCATCGTCTCCCCAGTCCGAACCCTCATAGTTCACCTGGCGGAGGTCTTTCCACTTCTTTGAGATCGCTCTTCCCACATTGGTCTTGTATTTCCCGGTGCCGTAAGGGTTGGATGTCGCCATTTGAAGATAAGCCTGCGGGGCGATTGACCTTGCTCAGCAATAGCAGGAGAAGAAGCCGGGATTCGTCAAGGCATGAAGTAACACATTGCGCAGACTATTCGGCCAAAGCAAATGCTTGGATTCTTTTCAAGGCTGCAAGAAGGGTCGAGATGCTGGAATTATTGCGCCCTAGGGATGTGTGTCGAGCGTGATCGACGGAGGTGGAGAGACTATTTGCGGGAAATTGGTAGACAGAGAAAGGCAGCAACTGGTCAATTGAAATAAAGGAGGGTGGCGAGAGCATATGCGAACAAGAGGATGTGAAGGGGGAGACCAGGTACGAACGCTGGAGGAATAGCGGGCAAGAAATGAAAGGCTGCAGTGTTGCTCTCCTGCTCTCCTCACTCTGCCCTACGAACGGGACCAGAGGCACCAGAGACTGCGGCCTTGATTGGAGACACCAGAAAGAGGGATCAACCATGCGTCACTTGGCCACCTCGAAGACTGGCGACTGGGCTGCGCCACACCTTGACGCGAACAGCTTTCGATGATGAAGTGTTCCAAACAGAGAGAGAGAGCTCTGGGAATGATGGGATATGGGCGCCAGTTTGACGAACCAAGTTAGACACGGTTTGTAAGTTTCATGCAGTGCCGCATCATGCATCACCTGTTCGTGAAATTGTATTCCGCTTTGTCGCTTCTGGTGGAACGCGAAACCCTCCAAGTTGCGATCTGACCCGTGGCTGGGACGAGGCTCTTGAAGGTTTGTTGGTGTTCGTGGCCGTTGGCTCAGTGGCTTGTGTAGCGGCAAAGACACCTGGACGTTTCCGGCAGCGGCACCTCCGATCCAGGACCTGCAATTCACTTCGTTTCTTTCATTTCACTGTACTTGTACATACTAACTTGAGACTTTACCTGACCGCAAGATCTTCGAGCCGCTTTTAATATCATTCCGACTTCTCGCACCTCTCCCACCGTTTTCATGTCATAGACTCTGGACCTAGAATGAACCCGCTGACACTTACTCCCTCCTAACTCCCGCGCTGTTCAATTTACGAACATTCGGTCCCTCGGCTGTTACATTTTTTTCTACAATATTCCTCTCAAAAATAGACGATCATGGTTTCTACGAGCATTCAAGACCGGACGAATGAATTCCGCACAATCCTTACCCAAGCCCAGAAGCGGCAAACCGCAACCAAGGGCGGCCCTCAACGACAGTCTCTCCTCAACGATTCGCAAAAAAGAGAAGCAAATGGAGCCACCAATGGCCCTTCAAGAGGCACGAGGTCGGAATTCGCTCGCAATGCAGCACAGATAGGGAGAGGGATCACCGCCACCATGGGCAAGTTGGAGAGACTGGCGCAACGTACGTGAAGAAACTAGAATACGGTGGGCACCAGGTAGCCGCTGACAAGGAACAGTCGCGAAAAGAAAGGCCATCTTCGACGACCGACCTGTTGAGATTGCCGAGCTCACGTATGTCATCAAGCAAGACTTGGCTGGTCTCAATGCACAAATATCCGCCCTGCAACAGCTCACGCAGTCACAACACCCAACTGCTTCCCAACCCCGATCGGCGGACCAGGAAGGGCAGCACAACAAGAACGTTGTCTTGATGCTACAGAACAAGGTTACAGATGTCGCCGCAAATTTCAAAGATGTCCTAGAAGTACGTACCAAAAACATTCAGGCGTCGAGATCAAGGACAGAGAACTTCGTGTCGTCGGTATCGGCAAGATCACAACCCCATCTGGATGATTCAAGGTCGCAGTCACCACTCTATCAGGGCTCAAGTAGTCGTCAAAAAACTCCCCAGGCGTCGACGAACGACCTTCTCACCCTTGAACCTTCAAATACTTCCACTTTAATGAAGAATACTCCTCAGTCCGACCATCAACTGTTATTAATGGAAGAAGCGCAGCCGACCAACTCCTACATTCAGGAACGTGGACAAGCCATCGAAGCCATTGAAAGGACGATAAACGAACTGGGCAGCATTTTCGGTCAACTTGCGACTATGGTATCTGAACAAGGCGAGATGTTGCAACGGATAGATGCCAACACCGAGGATGTGGTGGACAATGTCCAGGGTGCGCAGAGAGAGCTTCTGAAATATTGGAACCGGGTACAAGGGAACAGATGGCTGGTGGCTAAAATGTTTGGTGTACTCATGGTGAGTCGGAACAGTCCAAAAGTCGAGTTGTCTAGGCTGCTAACTATTCCAGATATTCTTCTTACTTTGGGTGTTGATATCGGGTTGAATGGGTGACAGCAATGGTGTTTATGGTACGATCTATAAGCACGTGAAGTTTCAAGACTAAATAATGATAGCCTGGCCACTGGGACAGCGAGTGGGTTCAAGTTATTCTTCCTAGTTTGTATTTTTAGGAGTCCGTACCTCGAGGTCAATTTTCCATTGAAAGAAGGGTTGTGTCTGTTCCGCGATAACTGACGAAACGGGTACCCAATGGTTCTCACAGAACTCTCGAGGAAGCAGTATGCCTGGCTGGCCCCATTGCAGCTGAAGCAACGGGCATCCATGAGCATCATGGAAGACAGAAAATGCTATTATAAAAGGAGGAATACCAATTTAAGTCAGTAGTGGATGCCTGTAACGCCGACGTAAAATGAGATGGGCTTGACGATAGGAGGCCATCCGACGTTTGCAGCAAAAGTCTCAAGACAGCGAATGTAATTATTCATCTCAGTGGTGTCGGCAGAAACAGCGAACTGTTGGTCTTCGCACTATTGTTTCAGTTATGGGTATCTCTCATCCATGATCAGTCAACTTTTCCAAGTCCAGTCCCTTCATGATGGGTATGTACAATGAGTCGTCGCGTTGCTCTTTCTCATCTCTCAATTATCGCAGGTTGGATCATCGGGAGTTGATGGAAAATTGATCTCGTCGCGGATGAACAAGAGGTGGATATCGTGATCGCCCCCATACTGCCGATGTCATTTGAGGCGAATCTGTTCGAATGATGCTGCCAATACCCATGAAGAGACTGTTGTGCCGAATGGTTAGCGACCATTTTGTTCGGAACCAGAGGGGTTACATGCCCAAACATAGCGCCCGATCCAAGCATATATTTTCCGAGCGTTCTCATTACGCCGGCTTGACCTGCGCCGTACTGAAAGATGGTGACGGTACCTAACAACACCATTAGTGCGCTGCTTTTTGACTGTCGCATCGACCACGACGAACCATAGATGAAGCCCATAATGCCTCCAACAGCTGTGAGTCAGTCAGCCTTACTGGATCGTTTCCTCTCTCTTGTTGTTGTTATGTTTGACTGACTTCCGCCCATCAACATCCCCATTTTCACTGCGGCCGCCGTTAGCTTCACAAGAGCACCACAATGCGGCGAGGAACGACATACTTTTATCAATCCACGTCGGTCCCCGCCGCTGTGCAGAAGGTGGGATGGGAGGCATATTGCCGGTGCTGCTGCTGTCGTTCTTGGTGCTTGTTGTCCTTGGACGAAATAATGGCTAGCTAAGGGCAAGTTGGAGAAGGTGAGGTGAGGGTGTATCGAGTAAGGTGCAGTGGATGTGACGATGGCCACCCCCATGCCAATCGGAGGTTGTACGATTGCCGCCGACCATAGTTGACCACAAGGGGCACGTGATGATCCTTTTCCCGTCCTGTTCGGGGAGACTTTCCACAAGTTCCAAAGCGTCAATCTGAACCGCTACAGAACCACGAGTCGCATCCTCGTGAACATCAAAGAGACCCCTAAACAGACACCAGTCGACCTACACCAACCGCCTGATGGGCAGGGCGTCTTTTTGACATCCTGCAACGTTCCTCGGACTCTGGATTCGACTTGTTATTGCACTGCCGGAGCTCACTGGTCAGCCCCAAGTCGTTCCCGTCAGACCCCTCGCTGTCCATCTCCCTGCACGCGAGCAGCCTTTTTCCTTCCCCGAACTCTGTCTAGGTCCCCTGTATGTCCTCGATTCAATTGACATCATCCTTCTCTCCTCGACGACTTGCCTGAACGTCGTGGCCGGGGCAAGTTGATTGACACAGTAACCCTTCCAGATCAGATTCACCTGTCGACTCCTCGAGATCCGACACATGACGGCCAGAAACAACAACAGATCTCTGTTTTTCTTAACTCCCGTCACGAATCCCTCCAGTCCATCGCCGATACCAAACCTCACAAGAGCATAGAACACCTTCCTCAGCGACCAGGACTTCACCCCCTTCCTCCTACCTCCCGATGACGACCGCTGTAGCATCGCCCCCAAGCTTTCCGAATATATCCAGGCTCAATTGGAATGGTCTAAGCGGTACAGGAGGAGGGTTTTCTGCAATGAGCACTGACGAAGTGTCTCGGATGTTTTTACCTCAGCAGCGCAAGACTGTGCAGAGGAGCAACTCGTCTTCATCCCTGTCATCCACCAATTCTTCTGGCTCAACAGTCACCCTTACGCAGAATGATGTCTCGTCAGAACCGGCCCACGGGCCAAAGAAAAAGGCAAGGGGAGGATTCTGGCCTGTCTCAAAACCAGAATCTACAGCCAGCGTCTCCAATGCTCGAGCAAACGGGTCGCTTCAGACAGCTATTGGCAACTCCTTGGTCGGCAAGAGCCCAGTACAGCCAGCGCTACCGAACCAAAGTCCTACCACTCAGGTCAATGGGACAAGAATCGTAAATGGAGCAGCTCCTGGCGAACCAGCTGCGATTCTGGCCTTGTTGCCCATGAATGGGACATTCGAAAGGAAACAAATCAATCTCCCGTTTTATCCAGAAGTGCTTCGCATCGGCCGACAAACGAATGCGAAAACTGTTCCAACTCCAGTAAACGGATATTTCGACTCCAAGGTTCTGTCACGACAACACGCCGAAGTGTGGGCGGATCGGAGTGGGAAAGTGTTCATCAGAGACGTAAAATCATCAAACGGCACATTTGTCAATGGACAGCGACTCTCGCCGGAAAATCGAGAATCTGAGCCTCATGAACTCCGCCAACATGACACGCTAGAATTGGGCATTGATATTGTGAGTGAAGATCAAAAGACCATTGTCCACCACAAAGTATCGGCCAAGGTTGAATATGTGGGCCTCCCTGGGACGACCAACAATGTTCTCGATCTTACCTTTGGCGACCTGGATCCATCTCACGGTGGTGCCCTATTGCCATCACCTGTGAGTTCACCAATGCTTCACAGTCGAAGCCGACCCGGAGTACCGGCAACGAATGGACGAGCCTCAACACCTTCAAGCGTTGCCGGCAGCCAGATGAGTTCGATTGCGCAACAACGAATGAACATGTGGGGCGCCACGCCGTTGAACGTCGAACAACTGGTCAAGACCCTTGCTGTAAGTTTTTTCATGCCGCTCTCGGAAATACCAGATATTAACTCGGAGTACAGATGGAGATGCGAGCAGCAAGACAGCAGGCGGAGGAATTAGACCAGGCTGGCGCTTTTCTAAACTCATTGTTGACACCTGGAGCTGATCCTCACAAGCTTCAACCTACGTCCAAAGAAGGGGTTCCTCAGCGACAATCTAACGGTCGTCCTAAAGCCCCTAAGATGGAGCATATCGCCCGCTTCGCTGACCCTCCAGCACCACCGCCGCAACAACCGCTTCCAGAGAAGCCAGACACCTCGAAGCCAAGTCCCGTCACGACGTCATTCACGAATCTCCTGAAGCGCGGCGAAACTGCCAAGCAACCCAATAATGCGTCACACTCTCCGACAAATGCCCAAAACAGTCAAATGATGTCTCTAATCGAGGCACTGTCTATTGCGAAAAAGGAACTTGACTCCCAGGGAGCGAGAGTAAAGCAGTTAGAAGATATGCTCAGGCAGGAACGGTCAGCCAGAGAGGATGCCGAAGAACGAGCTCGGAAGCTTGAACAACATGCGGCATCCCGACCAATCTCAGTGGTTGAAGAGGAATCGGAGACAGCGATAAACCCCACTAATGACACAGAGCCTGTCCAAGAAGAGGCAGGACATGGCGCGGACGGCGAACTTGATGCAAGAACGAAGAATCTTCAGCAGAACCTAGACCAAGTTCTTGGGGAGATGCAGAGGCTAAAAGCGGATGTGGACCAATTTCAGAGACGGGCAGAGACAGCCGAAGCTGACGCCGCCAACGCTCGAAAAAGTCTCGCCGAGATGATCGACAAGATTCGAGAAGAGAACGAGAAAGCAGAGTCCACAGCCAGGAAATCTCACGAACGACGGTCACGTGTCCAGCCTGATGAATGCGCCGAGGTGGCTGAGGCCGACGACGAGGAGCCGGGGTCAAAATCCATGGTTAAGTCGGTAGCACAAGCGAACGGCCACATTCGCACACCGAGGCTGCCTGAGCATCTTGAACGGGCCGTTGCTACAGTGCTACGCGACAAAAGCGGCAATCCAGATGCCATTGCTCAGTCAGCACCATATGTGTCTATGCTGGGAGTGGTCCTCATCGGAGTCGGATTAATGGCCTATCTCAATTCCTGGCAGAAGTCAGAGAGATGACGCGTCGACACCAGAAGGCATGGGTTTTTATTTCGTTGGACATACTATCTCATTCATTTGTTTGGTTGGACCATCAGCGCCCGACATCTCACTCATTTCGTTACAAGCATGGTATCAGGCATGGCGTTATAATGGACAGGATGACTTGTGAAGGGCGGAGATACTTTCACGGTGCTTTTAAGGGGCCTTCCACAGCCCCGTGAAATTGTCGCGGAGCAAGGCGCCAAAGGGATGTCAAAAGAGAGCTTTCACATTATCATGGCTTAGGCCACAGCAACCAGTAACAGATTGTGGGCGAGGCGTTGGTCAGGGAATGCATGAGAAAAGATCTGGGCCGGATAGGCGTCATGTATATATGTGCGTCGAGCTAGGATTGTTGTCATCCTCGTTGCTCTCACAAGACAAGACAAGGGATGACCGGTCCAGTCCAGCAAGCCAACATGAAATGATGATATGAGCTTCAATAACAGCCATGGCAAGGTTCTGAGCGACTGACGAGGGGGGCATGGTGTTGGATCTACTGTCGGTGCTGTTAATCTCCCAGCGGTGCCAGTTGTGGTATCAGGCTGGCTAAAGGGGGTGGGAGTGGTGTTCCGTATCTTGTCTAGTACCTTCTTGGTACTCATACGGTGAGTTTGGTGAGCCTCGCTCGTAGCTAGCCTTACGGGTACCCAGACTACATACTCGTAGGCGTCTCGTTTGAGGTAGTTCGTACATATTGTTAAACTAATTATTATTCAGTGGCCTGCCTGTTTTGGGGGGCTGTTGAGGCCTGGGCGTGCCGTGTGCCTCCCCTTTTTCGGCAAATGAGAGACTATGACTAGGCGGTGGAGCATCGTCAGTCCCCACTAAGCCAACAATCCGCTTCGGCCTCCGGCTGCGGTGCAAGGATGTACTGGGTAATTATGTTTATTTCTCAACTCGGTCTTGTGTCCAGTGACGCACCGTTATTACACCATGTCCTCGATCACTCATTGGGCTTTCCTCGCCGTATGTGTATCATCTTGGGGAACTGGGCGTCAAAATGACGTAAGGAAATACAAGTGATACACATTCCGCGGTTCCTTTTTGGAGGGAAAGCAATGGTCCTGGTCTGCGGTCGCGCCAGTCTGATGGGGCCTCAACATAAGGGAACTTCCGCACACCCAGGCTGGTTGATATCAACCTCTGGTGGCCCCAACACGCCTGATATGACAATCTTCTCCTTTCAGATGACCGTTGCAATGCTTTGTTTCATGCCTATACGGTAATTTTGTGCCTTTGGAAGGCCAGCGAGGCTGATACCATGAAACCTGCTATTCTTCGTTCCTCAATCGTCCCCAAATGGCAGAGACAACTTGGAGCCATCCACAGGTCAATGACATCTGAGCTGAGGACCGCTCGAGGTTCTGGGGGCTGTTTGCAAAAGCGCTGGTTCGCCACACCTGTTGACGTCGCCAAGAATGCAAATGGAGATTTGAGTGACCCCAGGGTAAAGGTTGTCATTCTGGGAAGTGGTTGGGCAGGTATGAACCGTCTCAGCTCCAACTCCGCTCCAAGAAGCATATTCACCCTGTGTGAACAGGTTACGTCCTGGGCCGCCAGTTGGACAAGAGGAAATATCGCGTCGTCATCGTCTCCCCTCGCTCCTACTTTGTCTTCACCCCTCTACTCAACGACACCACCGTTGGCACCCTCGAATTCCGAAACGTCCTCGAGTCTGTGAGAAAGAAAAACAGTCACTTGGAATTAATTCAAGGTTGGGCGGACGACGTCAACTTTGCGGATAAGACTGTTACTATTGAACCCTCGGTGCTGGATCCAGATGTAGGCCACGCGTTGACAGGACCGAGGAAACCAAATGAACAGCAGACAGCCAGTGGATATGCTGTGAAAGGAGTCTTCCCTCATGGGCCATGGGAAAAGGAGGTGCAGATGGGTGGGACTGGCTTCCATCAAGTCCCTACGTTTCCCATACACTACGATAAATTGATCATTGCCGTGGGCACCTATAGTCAGACGTTTGGTACCAAGGGCGTGAGAGAAAACGCCTGGTTTCTGAAAGATGTACGGGACGCCGTCGCCATACGTCGGCGCATCTTGGAATTATTCGAACTCGCCCGGCTACCCATCATCCCCGAAGAAACCAAGAAACACCTCTTGCACTTTGCCGTTGTCGGTGGAGGTCCCACAGGTATGGAATTCGCCGCCTGCCTCTCGGATCTGCTGAAAGATGACCTCTCTAAAATCCACCCTGAACTCATGAAATACGTTCGCATCAGCCTCTACGACGTCGCCCCTAAAGTCCTCCCTATGTTCGACGCCTCCCTGGCCGATTACGCCGTAAAACAGTACAGACGCCAAAACATTGAAATCAAAACGTCTCATCATGTCGAAGAACTCAGGAAGGGATTCCCTGACGACGAAAAAGCTCGTCAGGATCAAGCCAGTCAGGTCAAGGGACGAGTCTACACGATCCATACAAAAGAAGAAGGGGACGTCGGGATTGGCATGTGCGTTTGGTCCACGGGAAACATGAACAACCCGTTTGTCGTGAAGGCGCTCGATCATGTGCGTCGATTCCCGACCGAGTCCGCACAGATCACCCAAGGGGAAGTGACCGATCCGATGCAACGACAATGGATCATCCAGCGGGACGCTAAAACCGGCGTCATCTTGGTAGACGACCACTTTCGAGTGCAGCTTACGACAAAATGCGCCGAGGGCATGAAGGAAGATGAAAAGCCCAAAGCTTACATGAAGAATGTTTTTGCCCTGGGCGACACCAGTAAATTAATGTCTGGTGCCTTGCCGGCAACGGCGCAAGTTGCGAACCAACAGGCCCTCTGGCTGGGAAAGACCTTGAATAGGCACCCTTCCCCTAAAGAGTTCGGGAAGGAGAAAGGGTTCACATTCAGGAATATGGGTGTCTTAACATATCTCGGAGGAGCCAAGGCTATTCTCCAGGGCGGAAACGGGAACGGTAACAGCGGCGGTGCCGCGAAGGGGATCAAAGGGTTGGCGGCGTACCTTATTTGGAGAGGAGCTTATCTCACGATGACGCTGAGTTGGAGGAACAAGTTCCTTGTCGCAGTGCAATGGGTCGCCGTCAAGATCTTCGGCAGGGATCTTAGTCGGTTCTAGTGGTGCGGGTTCGGAATGGCCAGTTAGTCTCGAAGTTGTCGTTCTAGATATATGCTCTCCCGAATCTCCTAGGTTAGGTGAGGATAGTAATTCGGTTAGACAACGGTATGAATAGACATTTCTGGATCCTGAGCCTAGTCACCACGAGCTCTCACACATGCAAGATTGAGGTTGGACGGTAATCCAAAAGCGTTGCATGGCGACAACTATTAGCCAACCATTAATAAGCAAGTCGAGGCATATGCTCTGGCTTACGGGGTTGATTATGGCTCGTGCGTCGGGTTAGCCCCAGCCAAGGCCCAGACCATATTAATCAATCATGTCTCTCGACCGACAGCAGTAGGAGTTACACGGCCGGCCTTCGAAAGACATCTGAGATATTGGAAAGAAAGGCGGCGTCCCGGCATTGTGAATGCCGTGCTCCGCATGCTAGCCAGAGGGATGAACGTTGGTACATAATGGACGATACTTGCCGATGCGATTGATTTTACCTGGTCTAATCACAGTCCAGAATCAAAAATCACATCGCCCACAGGTCCAAGAAAATAACACGGAGAGTCCAAAGCCATGACGGAAATCATCCCCGCTGAAGTCGCCCACAACCTGGCGTATGGGAACCTGCTCCGCGTCTTCAGCAACCGTGACCGTGCCTCACGCCTCAACGCCATCCGAGAGACGTACCACGCGGACGTAAGCTTTTACGAACCCGACTGCGTCGTCGCCGGCCATGACGGGGTCGACGCCAAATCCGAAGAGCTCCTCAACTCACGACCAGGATGGGGCTTTGTCCCCGTGGGAAACGTCCAGCGGAACCACAACATGGTCTATCTGGCGTGGGGTTTCGGCCCGCAGAACGATGCCACTGGCGAGGTGGATGTGCAGGTCAACGGGGCCGATGTCTTGATCGTGGACCAGGGCAAAGTCAGGACTTTCTGGGTCATAATAGAGGGCATTTCTGATATCAAGAAAGCCTGATCTGTGGAATGGGGAAGTTGTGCCCGGCCAGATCAGATACGTTCATAGGGCACGAACTAGCACGCGTCGGCAGAAGGTGTATATGGAAGCAAAAAGAGAAACAGCGAAGCATGAAAACAAGGACCAACGGATCCTCGAAGCTAGAATCCTCTTTACGCTTTCTATGGGTTGGTCTATCTGCTGGATCATGTGGGGTTCGCTCATGACGTTGCTGTCGTTTGCGCCATTCAACCAGTCTGTCGGATAGCCACCCCTATCGTATGTTGCTACTTGTCTGTTCAAGTACCCCTCGAGACCTCGGTCCTCAGCAACTCTCTGGCATCCTTTGGTGTCGGATGTGGCTGTCTCCTACATCGATTTTTGTTCTGATTACTCTTTCTTTCTGTGTTCTGGCAATCATCCAAACTTCGGCAGACTGCAAATGATCACAAGGTATCATAGCTAGCGCGTGAAAGGAAAGAGTTGTTGACGAGTGTCCCGGCTCAACTTGCTAGAGCAGCCTCGGTATTGTTGCTCGCTCAAGCCTTAAGCAGGCCAGCAGCTGCAGTACCAGTGGTTGTTGCCAGAGGCAGAGCAAGCAGCCGCCATCTCCTTGTCACTGCACCCAGACATGGCACTGCTGTCGCAAACGATCTGAGATTGCTCGTTACTGCACAACATGGTTAGTCTCAGTTAACAGGTTCCAAGGTCGATTTGGAAGGCTTACCAGGTGCAGAAGCGAAGACAGTTGTCACCGTTGAGCAGGCCATCACAATCGGGCAGCTTGAATGTCATGGCAGTGCCAGGATTGCCGGCATTTCCGGTTGGGTACTGCAAGTATAGGTAAGCTTTGACACATTGAGAAAAATGCAGACAGAAAGTCTGTCAAGGAGGAACAGGACTTACGCAGCCGATCTTCATAGGGATTTCTAGGTTGGGAGACTTTGGCATCAACCCAGCGAGAGAGGCCGAAGAGAAAGCGAGAACAGCGGTAACGGTGAGAAACATTTTAGACCGCATAGTGAAGAACGTCTGCGATGTTGTTGGTGTTAGTGTTGATTGTATTGCAATTGTTCTGAGGAGATTGAAACTGTGGATTCTTGTAAGCGAAGGCGAGGTAGTTGAGATGTTTGTTGGAGAGAAGGAAAGAGAACGCCAGAATGGTAGAAGAGGTAGATATTTATACCATGGGAGGAAGGCAGAACGCAGAACGCAGAAGGGAGATGTGAATATTGAGCGTGAATGTATCTATTCGCGATCAGCAACAATGCTGGCAGTTTGATCCATCCGCCCAGCAGAACAAAGTAGAACGGCAACGTACCTCTGGTGGGTATGCACGGATGAGAGCAAAAAGAGGTGACATTGACCTGCTTGTGAAATGCCAGTGAGATGTGAAATGTAGTCAATGAAGCTCGAGTGACTTCTGGCCTGGTCTTCATACTGGCTACAGCCTCATTCTGTATTGGGACCGGTTCAGATACCTGAGAGCCACCCATGGTAGTCAGTAACAAGAAACACAGGCATCGTTTTTTATTTCCAATTTCACTTCTGCGTGATATCTGATCAATCCACTTCGAGCTCCGAGACGACGGTTTCAGTATCTGTCTCGAATTCCAGAGAAAAGCTCACTGTAAGACTGTTGTGTTTTCATTTGAATGGGAGACAGCAGATGTTCAACAGGGGGCCAAGCAACAGCATACGCTCTGCAAACCATCTGTGTTGACAAAGGACTTCTTCCGAAAGCTGCTGCTAAACCACCCACGTTGCCCCCAGTCTTCTCCCTGGTCTTTTCCATTTGCACTCTGAGAAGGTAGCAGTAACTTGAACATTTCTCGGCCGTCTTCCTCAACTTTGCTCCATAGCAGCTCTTCAAAATCCCTCATTTTGGGAAAGAATGTGCGTCTTCATATCTTATTCCTGAAAGCCATTTAGAAGCCATTGATGTCTGGTAATCGCGCCTGCTCCGTATCGTAGGCGCTGCTTCCTGTCCAGCCAGATACCTTCACCTTCATATGCTCTTTCTCCCATCGGAGTAGGTTATGTCATTGGACGACTCTTGCACTTACATGTGTGAGCTGAGTATCATCCATGTCTTGTGACCGTACTTGACAGAGACCAACGACCGGTCTGGTACCGAGTTCTCAACTCGGTATATCTCGCACACGCGGGGATCCAAAGGAAGTCCGTCGACGGTCCATATGGGGATTGCGGATTGCGGAGCGGGTCTGGGGATTTTGCAAGATACCAAACGTAAGTAGATTGCGGTGGCATAAGTCGTCCCGAGAGGTTGCACAAAACCACGTGCGGAAGGGTGATTATGCAAAGGTGGGATTGGATCATCCGTGGGGAAGAGCATTCTAGGAATGGACGAGTATGATGGCCTGTCCATGATGGTCCGGTATGGTCCATGAGAAGCTTTGAAGAAGTGAGGATTTGGTTAGCGGTGGAGATTGTGGCCGCGGACCAAACACAAGGCCGTGGCTCGCAACGCCTTCCCTGGCTAGGCTTCCTTTGCCTCTCTGGCCGCGCTCGGGGAAACCTCGTCGTCATCCTGCAGAAGATTTCCCTTCACTTTCGCATGGACACGCTGCCTCCGTGTTCACATCCAGGTCTCACCAAGATGCCCCTGCAACGTCCATCCCGCTGTTCGATTATCATGCTACGCAACCATATCCGGTGACAGCCTCGTCCAAACGCTCCCCCTCATGACAGCTCAGTCAATCCCCTACGCCGACGTTCGCCACCGTCGCCATGAGCTCCCTACTCAACCCCATCCACAGCGCGAAGCAGAAATGCCGCCCCAAGCACCAAGTCCTTGTCCTCAAATGCTATCCCAAATACCAGAAGAATGTCCAGGAGGTCAAGCCCATGTCCTCCGAGCTCAGCTACCTGCTCTATTATGCATCTACTCGTCGCAACAAGCTGCAGAAGGTCGGCGCATTCCTCGAAAAGAAGAACGCCGGCGACGTCTGGAAAGGAAGGCTCGGGTGCGCATAATAATGACTCTGCCGCTATCTTTGCTAATTGAGCTTCAGCAATGTCCAAGTCACCCTCCAGATCCTCGCGGCCGTCATTGAGAAAGCGCCTCGAGATCTCTCTCTCTATTCCAAATCCGTTCTCACCATTCTCGATTCCGTTCTACGCTCGAAAGACGTGAACATGGTCGAAGACTCCATTCCTACATTTGAGGCCTATTGCAAATACGTGGACGTGGCCTCTCTCACGGCCGATCAGCAGCGTGCCCAGCAATATATCTCCCTCGTCCAGCACTACGCTGGGTTCGCCTTAAAACCAAAACCGTCAGACAAAAAGCAAGGCGATTCCATCCCGCTCTCTCTTAGATGGCGGAAAATCGGCCTCCGTGCCATCCGGGCTGTCGTGGCGTCTGACGCTTTGGCTGTGGATTCCAATCGACAACTGAACCTCGTCATGCCGGTGATCCTGGAGAACATGTCGTTAGAAGAAGAGAATATCCTCTCCACATTACAGCAGAGAGCAAAGACAAGTGAGAGGATGGACGACGAATCCGCCAGGAGGAGGCGCATGAGTATAGCGACCGTCACAACAGTCGATACCATTGACGGTGATCCTGCTGCAGCGGTTGAGACCACGGCAGGAGCGGATAAGGTCGCCGAAGAGGAGGTCAGAGCGTTGGCATTGAGGTGCTTGAAACAAATCTTCTCGGTCGGCATCGGAAGTACAAGAGGTCAAACGAGGTTGGCAACAGCCTTGACCTTGAAGTTTATTGCTTCGAAAAATCCGCCCAAAGTTACCCCGGAAACATCAAAAACCGGCAACTGGGCGACGTCTCTGTTTGAAGCAATCGCGCGATGGACGCCCGTGCAAGATCGTTTCATTATCGTTGTCACTGCCATGGAAACACTGGTTAGAAGCCCTATGGCGGAAGGGGTCCTCGAAAAACAGCTGGTCCTCACAACCATGATCGACTGGCTTCTTAGTTCCCCCGTCAATCTCATCGGATTGAGCGTCATGGATGTGCTACTTGGGTTCCTCCAGCACATGCTAGTTCTCCTCCAGCTTGGTGGACCTAACTCTCGCATCACACAGCCACATCGAGAGGATACTCTTGGTTTCTATCGGGACGTCAAGGAGGCTTTCGACCCAAGTTCAGTCTTGGCAGAAAACAAGATGTCCAGGACGCCGTCCAAAGAACTGACAGCATCACCTGTCCGGCAAGAATTGCTTGAGAGGCTACAGAAATGCATCGCCTCTCTTTCCAATCACATCTACTACACAGACCAGATCAGCGACATGCTGACAGCAATCCTAGCACGCCTGAAACCGTCGCCTCAGTCTGAAGTCCCGACGTCGGCCGCCGCCATCAATGACCCAGCGGCCGCAACAAAAGCAATCGCCGAATCTGCGAACATTCATGAAGACGCCAACACCTCTACATTCTTCTCGTTCGCGACTGCGCGAGTCACAGCTTGCCGAGTCATCAAGGACATCTTGGTTCGTGCCAATAGCAGACGAAGCGCCGCAGGGGCACCTATCGAAGCTCGTGCACGAGTCGGGGTGCAAGTGTGGGAAGGCACGCAATGGCTCCTCAAAGACGAAGACCAAGAAGTTAGATTTGCGTACATCGACGCTCTGTTAACCTGGCTCAAGCTTGAAACCAACAAGAGTGACATGCTCCTGCCGCGAGATGGCAATCGGAAGCAGCCACAATCCAGGAAATATCACGGCGAGAATGGCGTAGCTAAGAGGGCTGTCTCCAACGCATCTCGCAAAGAAAACAAACCTACAAGATCAAATTTTCTTGCTCTACTGCATCTCGCTATTTACGACAGCATCCTTGACGACGCCGAGAATGAGACAAATCTCCTTCTCCTTTACCTTCTTCTAACCAAATTGGTCGAACGGCTCGGCGTCAATGCGGTCCGAAGTGGCATGCCCATGATCCTCAGACTCCAGGAAACGGCTCTTAATGGAGATGTTGTCTCCACATTGGGAAGAGTCAATGCCGGGAGTGTCGTGCATGGCTATCTGTGGACTATTGCGGACAATTTTGACTTTGAAACAAGTCCAGTCGGGCATGAGATCAACGCAGAGATTTCTAGGAGGAAACGCTTTGGAATCTGGTTCAACAAGGTCAAATTTCCAGCTCTGTCCATTGAGGACATCAGACAGCTTCCGAGAGAGACCGAGAAGAACCCCGGTTATAATGAAGAAGCGGTCCAAACCATCAAGCCGTTCTTGTCTGTTGCAAACGTGGTGGAGGAAATTGCGATTGCATATGACAACGCTTTGCTGACTCCGCCAACTTCCCCCCCATCTTCGCCTGGGAGAGTCTTCTCTGTGCCGACACTTGGATTCGGATACGGCTACGGAGCTGCACCCCAGCCGAAGGCCTCGAGAGAGGATCAGCTTCCACAAAAGGTCAAAGACGAGATGACCGCGGGGTGGAGCAGAGAAGCATGCATTGCCGCCGTCGAGAAAGAAAGCGCAGTATCTGTGACAGGATCTCGAACAGGGGCGTCTTCCATCCCGAACCAGCATCTCGGCGTCAATGGTGTTGGCCGGCCATATGGCTCTGTGAACGGAAAAGATTCACCAGCCACGGCCAACGGCAACACAACTCCAACTTATGGCCTCACGGGCGGATTAGGAAGCCTTACCCAAGTCCGGAGGGCAAGCGTCACTGGTTCACCTGCAAGGGTTCCAACCACATCCAGCCGCGAATCGACAGTAAGAGTCACTGATTTGAAAAGAGCGCTGTCCGGATACGCCGTTGCTGAAACACGACAAAGTCCGCTGCGAAGACCACAGGCAAGTTCGAGGAGGAGTACAGGCAGCAGCGGAAGCAGCAGCATGCTTAGTTGGGATGATGCTGATGACCTTAACCCATCGTTTCTCGATGTGGCTGCCACCGGTAACTCAACCGAGCACGCCCTAGACAGGAGCCCGTCCCGGCCACAGACGTCGTCTTCGAACAGACCTAAGACGGCAGATCAGAAAGATGCCACATATCATGATCAAACTCCGCTACCAAGTGTTACGGTCGATCCTCGTACGGATACGAATGTTCCACCGGTGCCAAAGATCCCATCAACACTCAACCTTCCGGGGACGTGGCCTCGTGACGCCTCGCCAGCGCGACCCGAAGAGATATCGCAGGACGCTCCTGTTTCTGGCCTGCCAGAAAGTCCTCAATCACGGAAAATTACGGGGGCAACGTATTCACCGTCGCCAGGGCGAGAAAAACAAAGCCTTCGAAAGACATCCCGACCAGCAAGCCGCAAAGGGGTGACACCTCTATCTTCATCTCCAAATGAAAAGTTCGATCTAGGTTCACTGTTGGCGGCTATTCCTATACCTATTGCGGAGGCAGCAGGGGATTCGCAGAAGGAAAACCGAACCAGGCGGCTCATAAGGCCTCCTTATTGATGGATTGTACCTAGGTAGTATTATGCGAAAACATGTTGTCTATCTTCCCCTTGTGATTAGCTACTCGTCGATTTGCTCACACTTGGCTTACCTGCTGCTTCCGGAGCGCTCAGGGAGCACTCCGGGAATCTGCCTGAGCCTTTTAGTCTCCCCCCCTGGGCGTTTATTCACAACATCAACTTTCGGTACCATTAGACGATAGAACCCAGTCAGTGTGAGCAATGCTATGATGGGTGAGCTGATCCACCAGCGCCAGGCTGCAGCCCGGCCTCTGGGCCGTTATCTGGTCATCACTTGGTTGTCACCAGTCATTTTTGTCGCGCAATTGTCGGAGCAAGAATAGTTTCAATGAATCGCCATCCCGGCGGGGTGAAACATCCCACGTAATTAGATAATGTATAGGTGCTTTTGACCGTTACTCCTACCATGTCTTTTCTTGGTGTATGTATCATTTACTGTACCCACCACCTTTCCGGACGGAGGGGGAGAAGTGTCGGGTCTGCCACGATGGGAGATTCCTGTTTGACGAAAAGCCCGCCGTGCTTCTAATTCATGCAGGAGACCGGAGGTCTTTGCGATCGCCGGTCCAGCGTGCCCTGTACCGTATGGACGAGAATCAGATTTCCTCTGGCCAATCCCTCCTCCGAAACGACAGCTCCGCTCGTCCTTTCCTGCTCCTCATAAGCACAATATCCTTCAGAATGCTTACGTTTTCATCTCGATCCTGGCGCTTCATCTCTTGTCCTTCGCCCTCTCCAAGCTCCACCTGCAGCACTGAAGGTCTAAACCTCGACCACAGGCACGTCACGAGCATGTCCCTCTCCTCACGCCACGACACAATATATGGATCCTTGGAAATGCACAACCACACCAGGTGCACCATGGCGAAGGCCGAGTACAGGCACAGCAGGACAATGGAGATCAGGGTGGACATCGACAGCCCGGACATTGTGTACAGCCCGTAGCCGTAGCCGGTCATGGACGTCTTCAGGATGAAAGCTGTCCGATTTGCTGCCGACGCCGTTGCCGGCGCCACCTGACCTTGCTGGACCAAACTTCCATGTATTTTGAGAAAGAGGTTATTGCTCGTGATGGATAAAGGCACGGTCCCTGAGCCTGTGTGGGCCATGCTCTCTGCAAAAAGTACAGATAAAATTACTTCCAATTTTATAGACAGATTACTCGATGTGCCTCCGAGAGACATGAAATTTTCGAATGCGGTGGTATTCGTCTGGGGTCGGGCTGGGCTCTCGACAAACTGCTGCGCCCATCGAGAGTCGATTGTTACAGTCTGGCTTTTGTACTTTTTGTCAATAGGCATCGCATAATCCAATCCCGGAACAGCGCCACCGATAACGTAATCGGTGCTGGTGTAGCTCGTTGAGGTAATCGAGTTCGCCCACTGTGCTTGGATCGAGCAGGCAAAATCTCTGGCACCTGTTGAAGTTCTGAGCCTCACGACGGCGCCAATAGAAGCATTCAGTAACTGTGAATCACCAAGGGTGACCCAGTGAAATTGTGGCTGCGTCTGGTCTCCAAAACTTGCATTCAACATTATGGGCGTGGTCTCCAACGGACTCAGACCATGGCTGATGATAGGAAATCTGACCAAGGAAGTGTTGAGTGGAGTTTCCAAACACCCTGTAATGACGACTGGCTGCATAGCGCTCACGAACCAAGAAACGTCTTGGTACGAGCACATAGCCGGACTCCACGTTTTTCGGCATTTAGCAGAGCGGGAAGGGAAAGTCAAGAATCGGAAGCTGTTGACCATGTCGCCTATGACGGCATGCTGAATCGATACCAGAGTGAAATCTGGTTTTGAGGCACCTAAAGAGCCTTTGAGTCGGATGTCCATAGTTCGCAACGACGAGATGCTCGGTACGCTGATACGTTGAGGGGATGCCGTGCCTCCGCCTGTTGTGGTGCGCGCCCAGTAGGAGAAAAAATTGGCCGCAATTGAATCCCAGGTCAGAGGATTGAAGCACCCCAGGGTGGAATCATCACAAATTGCAGAACCAGTGGCGCTTGGTTCAAGAGTTGAAGGCCATAGCAGATCACTAGAGGTGTTCAGTGTCATGATTGCCTGCCCAGCAGGCCAGATGTCGAGCCTCGGAATCAGAGCCGTCGCCGAGGACGGCCCGATGGCGAGGCCGAGCATGGTACACATCAATATCAGCGGCACCAGCAGCGATTTCCGAGCGTAGTTGGTGGCACACATTGCCCAAAAGTCTCGAGACCAGACGTAGGACAGATCTTTGAATTTGGTGAAAACCGTGAGAGATCCAAACGGCAGCCCATGTCCGATGGCCAAGCTCTTCAGCACATGAGTTAGCAGTGCTTCGCTAAGAGACGCCAGGATGAGCAACTCGTGGAGCTTTGCCGTCAACTGCAGCGCCAGTTCCTTTGGGGCATTCTCATTATTGATCCCTGAAAGCTCTTTCCCAACCCAGTACCCATACAGATTGAATGACGTGATAACAGCAGCCCCTCCAAGCGGCACCAAATGCAGGAGAAAGGTGTAGCATGATGCTCTCTCGGTGGCTTTGAAGGGCAGATCATCCCGGAGAGCGCTGCGACTGAATACCCTCGTCAGCGCTTGCCAAGTTTTGTGCAATGCGCCAACAATGAACGAGACATTGAGGTGTGAAGTAGAAGAGCGTGTTGTGGCCTTCGGGATCAATGTCTGTGAGCTTTCGGCTTTCGGCTCATGAGCGGGTCTGTCGTATGAAAGCCCAAACTTCATCTCTTCCCTTCCGGCGGCGAGAAATGTACTGGCTGCGTCGTATTGGGCACTCGAGAGAACTTAACTTAACTTTTCAGGGTAGAAAAATAATGAACATTTCATGACAGGCACTGGGTACTCGGTACCTCGTGGAAAGGCACCCCATTTAGGCTGCAGCAGCACGCCAAACGAGACCGCCAGCACGACGTAACAGTCGACCAGGGGGTGGATGGGGGTTGGGTTTTCAGCTAAGCCGTACATGGCATCAGTTTTACATCGAGATGCTGCACCAGGTCAACCTCTTCGAGAAGTGGTTGGTCGCTGATATAAGGATTATGGTCAATAGGCGCCGAACTGGAAAGGGAATACCTCGTACGAAGTACATCGGGTTGGGACCTGGTGGCCGATCATGCGGTACGTCCCGCTCCTTGATTTTCGGGCCTACCACCCGCTTTAGCTTCAAGTCTGTGTTGTCTGTGAAATTGCTGAAAGCTGGTCCCCTGCGTCGCACAGCCCGGTCTTGCAACGCTCTAGTTTCCGAAATTACCTTCACCATACTCAGGAACATTCTTGGTTCCCTGCCGTATTTCACGCTCGTTGTTTATAGTCATTTACGAAGTTACGAGATTGGACGAGGGCCCCGACGACGGGGATGACAGAACCGTGGTTTGGGGAGCGTCGTATTTTAGAAGAGGGAAATTACAGCCCGAGAGGGCTGAATGGGGGCTGTTGGTACTTCATGATGAGGGAGGGTAGAAGTTGAGGGTCGGTCGTACCTCGTAGGCGTAAAAAGAGGGGATAGTTGAAACGCTGCTAATTTAGGGTCCTTGTTGGCGCTGCATGTGGACGAGCAGATCGGGATGAAGTAGGAGTGCGAAGGTTATATTAAGAGGTTATAAAAGCGGCACGGCCAGGCTGAGTCGCTCAAGAGTTCCGGGCAAGCTTTTTACGCATCTTTATCTGCCATGATCATGGCGACTTTGTTACTGACCAAGGTGTGGATGAGTAAATGCTAGGGCTAATCAGCACGGGCAACGGTTCGCTGGATAGCGACCAGACAGATCGGGGCAGTCACCGGGGCTTGAAATTAGTAGAACACAGAGAAGACAGGTCGTGATGGCAGAATCCGCAAATACTTCGCCCCAGAAACAAAACTCAGGCAGCGGTCAGGCGTTCGAGTGGTTAAGTGTCATACTTTGGTGGATGCGACGACAACCGCCGCCTTCTCCTAGGGTCATAGCCGCTCGCCGGAGCATCATGGTCTCTCGAGTCACGACTATGCCAGGAAACGGACCATTCATTGCTCTGGATTTACGATTCTGCCAACGGTGGCGAGACTTCAGGGTATCTATCTGCCTGAAATCGAATCCTTCCCCCTTGGACCCCGCCCAACCCCTTCCAACCCTGTTTTTCTTTCTCACCCCATTCTTCCTAATGCACGTGTCGTGCATCCCCAGCCATATACCCAAGCGTGGGGATCAAAGCGTCTAACAGGCTCTCTGCCGAGTATTCAGCCCCCGTATTTGGTGCCATTGACGATCGAATCTACCAGGGCGGCTGTGTTGGCTAATGCTTCGTCTGCATAACGGTACCCAACCAGCTGCACACATATCGGCGCGTCTTTATAGTCTTCAGGTCCCGTGTCTAACAAGGTGAAAAGTCAGAAATTTTGTCAATCTTCATGGGGCTTATAGGGGACTTGAGGGGGTGATTTGCATACAAAGACTATACATGCGAGCATCCTCGGCGCCGTATTTGGCATTGCTGAGGTCATCCACGACGTCGGACTCGCACACCGTATCAACGGGAATGACGATGGCGGGGTAGTCGAGATAATTCCACAGGCCAGTGTAGGTGGCCGTCGTCCATTTGTCCAGGGGCACGGCGGTGTGCTGGGCCGGCGGCATCAAGATGGCATCGATGCCATTGTCACGGAAGAGCTTGAGATAGTCGCGTGCAGCTGCTTGACGACGCACGTTGAGGTCAAAGAAGCCGCGCAGGTCAGTACCTGGGAAGGAATTCAGGCCAATGGCCTTGACAGAAGGGATCTCGGGCTCCCCCGTCCGGGAGAAGAGCTCAAGGTAGTTCTGGAGATGGAAGAAATTTCACGTCAGATTTGTCTCGAACTTTACCACTGGGGAGCCACATCGCAACTCACTTCGCTTCCCAGCAATGTCCAGTACCTGATCAGGTCGTCATAATGGTCTCTGACGTTGGGCAATGCAAGAGGAACGAGCTCAATATTGTCGCTTCCTTGGAGAAGATCCGCTGCCTTTTTGAGGCCACGTCGAACCGGTGGCGAAGGAGTGTAAATACCATCATCCAGGACAAGGCCAATCCGAAGCTTTTGCTTGGGTTCGCGGTTCACCCATGGCAGAGAAATCACTGTGCTGTCATAGCGCCAAGTTTCTGCCTGCATAGTGGTTTTGAGGAAAAGAGCAGCATCCCGAAGCGACGTCGCCATGGGGCCGGCCGACGAGCGCACTCCATCCGTTCCAGGAGTGGTGAGGTCCCTCACGCCCCCGTGCGGGACCAGTCCGACACTGGGTCGAAATCCATAGAGGTCGTTGCAGACGGAGGGCACACGAATGCTCCCGCCAATGTCTGTCCCGACACCGAGCACGCTTCCTCGAAGGGCAAGAAGGGCGCCCTCGCCACCGGTGCTTCCACCGGCCGTCAATGCCGTATTGCGAGGGTTCAAGGTCCTGCCGAAGACATTGTTATGGCTATCACCAGTCATGATTGTTTGTGGAAGATTGGTCTTGCAGTAGAGCACTGCGCCCAATTCCAGCAGCATGGTTGCGGTACCACTGCCTTCGTCTGCCGGTTCGTTGACAAAGCATGCCAATCCGGTCGACGTATCATATCCCGCAACTTGGAAGCTATCTTTGAGCGAGATTGGAAGGCCGTGAAACGGACGGAGCGGCTTTTCAGGATTTTCTTGCCGTTCGCGGTCCAGTGCACGCGCTCGCTCGATGGCTTTGTCAAAAAAGATCTCGGTTAAACAGTTGGTCTGTCGCGCCGGTGAGCTGATGTATTATTATATATGAAAGAGCAATGCTGCGAGACGAAGGAGGGGAGTCAGGGGTTGACAAACCAACTGCTGAGCAATGGCTGCCCTCTTGCAGAAGGCGACCGTGACCTGTTCGGCCGACCACACTCCATCCTTGAGCTTCTCCAGGAGCGCGGTGGCGTCAAAGTCGGAGGTGATTTGACACTCGATCTCGCTCAAGATGCCACATGTCGGCGGCACTTGCATGACATTTGTGGCCCCGAGGTATTGGTCGGAAGGAAGCAGCCACTCTTTGGGGATCTTAGTCTGACGTTCCAACTGCTTCTCGGCCGCGACGATTTTGTAGTCCCGGTAGACTTTCGACATGGTGCTCGTTTCCTACGGTACCTTCGAAGGGGTGAAGGGGCAATGGGTTGAGTGCTTCTGCTGTAAAAAGGGGATGTCCAGGTCCTCTCGGGCATACTTTATACTCCAAGGCCTCGACTCTTTGTTTTAATGGTAGACCAAGCATCTTGCAGGGAGGAATTTTGGCGGAGGCGCATAGTCTCATAGCTGAGCACTTGAGTCTCTCGAGATTTCACCGGTTCCGGTTCTAAAATGGTCAAGACATTCGAAGTACAAGCTTCAGCTTCAACACTCTCTGGGGAAAATCCTCCGGTCATCGTTCCGGTCCATGTATCGCGCATCACCGGCCTATTAGAAGCTTAGGCCTTCGACCTCCGAAAGGCTATTCTTCAGTTTTCCAAGCCTCTTGCTTACCTCCTTCCTAGCTGATCGTTGGGGGCGAGTACCGAGTATCCTGTTGGCCATCCAAGATTCTTTCTAAGACGACCCGTACTTGTTAGCTTCTCACAAGTCACTGCTGTTCTCCTTCACCCTTCCTTTGCTGGCAACCTGGATCTATCTGAGTGACTGGAATGGCATCGGTCTCTCTCACGCTCCGGCGCCGTGGAGTGCGGGCTGCATGTGACCGATGCTACGAGCTCAAGGAACGGTGCGAGCGTGCGTCGATAACTTCGACCTGTGTCAGATGCGACAGGCTGGCTCAGGTTTGCCTGACTGTGCGTCCACAGCGACCAGCCGGTCGAAGACCACGACCACGACATCGAGAGCACTCGGCCTCTCAAACAGCATCAAGCCCATCGAGCACCAACGCTCAGTTTCAACGCCATGTTGGCGCCTGGCTACGCGATGTCCCTGACCTGTGCCCGGAGGAGAGGGAATTGATCATGTTTCTCCTGTACCAACCCCAAACCCTGCAGTTCTACGTGGTTAGCCCCAGCTTCGAAGATGCCGAACGGCGGTCGTTGGAGGCCCCGTTCAAGTTGCCGGCGGCTTGGCCGGTACTCAAAGATGCCTATCTTGCCTATGCGGGCGGTTTGAAAGCATTTCACGCCGAAAGCTCGATCAATGTGGATGTGGATGCGAATCTCTGCCATGCATCCTCCGCCATGAGAACGTTGCGGACGCTGTCAGTTGCCAGTTCAGAGGATGCCGCGTTATGTCTTACCCTGGGGATCGTATTGGCACTCTCTATCTATGGAGCCGTTGGTGTTGGTGTACCCGACATCTGCCACTACTGCCTCAGTGCTGCCAGTCCTTTTATTGAGCCCGCCGCGTCCATCCCCGGAACAGAGCCTCAGCTCATCTTTTTTGTCTTGTTGGAGACCATGGACTGCGCGGTCCACCGCCGAAAGCCGACATTGAGGATCCCGTCCCCGGCACCCGGACGCGTGGATCGCCACTTGGGGCTCTGCCTCCCATTGCTCCCCTACTATTACGATCTCTGCGTCATCAGCCACTCGCTGATCGATGCTAGCAACGCCAGTTTCATATTCACCTTGCACCAGCATCTCGAGAGGATCCATACTGCCGTGAACGCGTGGCAGCCATATCCACCAGACCGTTTCGTCCACGACTTCTCATCAGCCGAAGTGGTCCACCTCCTGGCTCAAGCTAGGGTATACCGATTGGCAGCCCTGCTGATGGCTCACCGACTGCAACATAAATTTGGACAGGAGGACGTTCGGGCGGATATCTGGTCGCGCGAGGTGATTACGGAACTCGAGCTGGCTCGACGGACGACACAACGACCCATCCGATTTGTGACGCTCCCATTCGTTATTGCTGCGATCGAGATTCGAGACCCGGTCGCGCGGACCAAGGCAGTCCAGGACGTGGATGAGTACGTTGATCAATTTATGCCAGTCGTACAAGAAGCGACCAAGACGTTTTTGTGGCGGATCTGGCGCGAGCGGGATGCTAAGGCAATATGCTCTTGGTTTGATTCGGTTTGCAAGCCGTGCGTCATATTGAATTCTCTCAGGGCCTCTAGATGAATGCGACCACAACAGCTAGTACTTCTAGGCAAATTTGAGGTGATCTAGTCCAGTTGGTCCTCCGTGCCCTTCGAAATACAATGAGAGCAATTCAAAGCGTTCGAATGACAGACTGGTGTCATTTGAAATATGTAATGACAGTCGGTTCATTTCCCCTTCGCTCTTCGTCTAGTAGGACTTGCTATCCTGGGTCTATCAGTCAGAGTAGATTCCCAGTCATATAGAAGAATCGACCTCCCAATTGACTAAGGCTCCCGGTCATTGTCTCTTTTCTTATCCGTCCACCTAGAGCTTCCACAATGGATGCGCTGGCTTCAACCCTGGTCGAGCCAGTCCGAGCATCTATGTTCCTAGATATGGAGGGACCTAGCGCCCATCGCGGGGAGATGAAGCCGGAGGAAAGACCGCTCGCAACCGAGATGGGGAGCATCCAAATTGAAGGCCTCGACCGGTCATTTGCTGCTCTGTGGAGCGGTGGAAGAGTTGTTGGCATTGGGTCGGCAGGTAAAGAGGAGGATAATTCACCAAGGAGAAAGGTAAGTGAGTGCTCCAGTCTCCTCTCCCTCGACAACTGACCGCTTGATGGCACTCTAGAGGCCACTCGCTTTGCAAACGCTCGCCGCAGCACTCCTCAACTCCCAGGTCCAAACCCGCTCATCACCAACCGTGTTGTCGTCGAATCCAGCTGCACTGCCGAATGTGTATATTGTGACTCCTCATACCTCTCAAGCCATCCCGATGCTTCACGTGCTTCTGGCAAACACCATGTCCAATTCTAAAGCCGCGATTGAACTTCTCAAACCTGTTCGACTGCTGCAGTATTTTGACCTGGAGGGACTGGCAGAAAGCTTAGCGGAGGTCAGTCAAGATTTGTATAGAAGGACTCAGGCGAATAATGAGCCGATTGGCGCAGAGGGCGGCAACCGCACCCGGCTGAAAGATATCGTCCTGGTCCAAGGATTAGGACAGACGGTGTCAGCCACGCATCGTCGGAGTGGCCTCGTCCAAAGCAATGCGTTGCTGGGAGATTTGACGAGAAACATCACGCAGATTTCACGGATATCAAGACATATCCTCGTCCTTGTAGAGGTCACTCTCGAGATTGGTGCAGCTCACGAATCCCGGTCGAATCAAGCGGCACCAAGGTCCAGGAGGGCTCCTGCAGCCGTTAGCTTGGAATCTGTCTTCGCTGGCTCTGGCGGTGAGTCTTTAAGGCTTTGCTCGGGACACGAATCACTATCGAGGACGCTAGAGGCGGCTCTTGATTGTATCATTGTAGAGCATGACGGCTTCGGCCGAGTCAATGAAAGCAGGAGATGTACCGAGTTTGGGGAGCAGGTGATTGAGGTGGTCAAGGATCGAGTGGGCGACTTGATGGGCCTATGGGATATTTGGAAGGGAGGATGATGGTATTTGGGAATGGAATGCATCTCGAAGGTACGTAACATGTATGGACGTGCCTTCTCAACCCTCGACAAACCCATTCTATATGCATGCCTTCCGGCCTGTCTTTCTACCGAACTCTTCCGCCAAACCCTTACATATCCCGTCAACAGGGTTACGATACACAAATATCTTAGCAATGGATATTGCTTATAGCCCTTTCAGCGTTATCGCGCGCTCTGGAGTGCCTGCCATGCACGCTGCTATCTTACCTCCCACGGGCAAGGTGGTATTTCTGGACAAAGTTGAAGACTACTCAGAACTGCGCTTACCGAACAATCGCTGGGCATACTCCTCTCTGTACGATCCAGATACCCACCATCTGGCTCCCTTGTCTGTCATGACAAACCCTTTTTGCTGCGGTGGAACGTTTCTGGCGGATGGACGACTTGTCACCGTCGGCGGGAACGCCCCCTTGCTCTGGCTCGATCCTACCGTCGAGGACGGCTTTGACGCGATTCGTTACATTGAAGACGAAGGTGGCAATTATTCATGGAAAGAGCCTGGGAATAAGTTAGCCTCAAACAGATGGTACGCGTCGGCACAGACCCTAGCGGATGGCAGGATCTTTGTTGCAGCAGGCAGTTTGAACGGACAAAGTCAATTCAACTTCAGCAACAATAACCCCACCTACGAGATCCTCGATGTGAACGGTGTCAGCGAAGGCGACAATATACCGATGGACATCTTGGATAACACCATGCCGTACTAGATGTACCCTTTCCTGCACCTTATGCCCGACGGCTTGCTCTTCATTTTTTCAGATACTTCTTCAGAGATCTTTGATGTGGCTGCCAACGAAACTGTCAAGAAGATGCCCCTCATGCCGGGAATGCACAGGACCTATCCAAACACAGGTGGGAGCGTCATGTTACCATTACAAGCAGAGAACAACTACGAGCCTGAAATCATGATTTGTGGTGGAGGACAAACACAAGCAATTGACAGCAAGTGTGAATCAAGCTGCGGAAGGCTGAAGCCGATGAGTCAAGATCCTATATGGCAAATGACCGGGATGCCAGGGGCCCGAGGTATGGTAGAAGGGGTCTTACTTCTTGATGGCACTGTGCTCTGGATCAACGGCTGCCACACAGGTGCCCAAGGGTTTGGACTGGCTACAAATCCGGCCTTGGAAGCCCTAGTCTATGATCCGAGATCGAATACGTGGACTGTATCCGGAACGACAACAATTGCCAGGCTGTATCACTCTGTCGCCTTACTACTCCTGGATGGAACAGTCCTCATTGCGGGAAGTAATCCAAATGAAATGCCAGTCATTCTGCAACATGTCGAGGTCCACAATCAATACAGAGCCTTTCCCACCGAATTTAGGATTGAGATTTGGACCCCGCCATATTTGCGTGGCGTCAAGGCATCTCGAAGGCCCAGAGACATCGGCCTTTCAACCTACACCCTGGCGGCTGGGACAAGATTCAGTGTCGAATTCATCATTGACGAACAAGTTAGGAACCTGGACCTTGTTCTCTACAGTGGAGGGTTCGTCACGCACTCGGTTCACATGGGTCAGGCGATGGTGATCCTCGAGAACGATGGTTGTGAAACTCTGAGCGACGGTCGAAGAAGAGTTGAGGCATCTTTGCCAGAAGGGATCCAACTCGCCCCTGGACCGTATGTGGTGTATGTGGTTGCCAATGGCATACCCGGAGTCGGGCAATTTGTCACTTTGCGCGTTTGACGTGAGAACACTCATTTATATTGAGCATATCGCTTGATTGAGCGGCAGTCGTGGAAAGTATCGGAATCGACGACTTCTGGTATTACATCAGCACAATTGAAGACGAAAGTCAACAACTGAAATTCTAAATATTGTTCTTCGGCTTCCGCTTAATGTTTCACCGTATATCTAGTACGTCAAAGTAAGCGGCCAATTGGCCGCATCTTCAAAGAATCCTTCGAATCTTCAATTTCTGGCACTCGAGCAACCAGCCGACTGCTAGGTACTGAATGGCAGAAGATCCGTCGAAAGCGCCGTCGCCAGTTTCGGCGCAGGCGAGCATTTCTGCTGTAGATGGAAGCACAGATCAGCCCTCCAATGCCACGGCTGGAATCGCATCAGGTCCACCCTCAAAACCTGCACAAGATGGCGAAGGCGACCTGATAATGACTTCGCCCACTGCCCCTACAATGGCAGCAGCGGCATCAGTCTCAACTCCTTCAAATTCCGCGACTGCCTTCACGACTACCCTTCCAACTACCGGGCCTGTCCCCCTCGACTCAGCTTTGCGCACCACGCCAATCCATCCATCTCTACCATCAGTGAAAGTACCCGCCGAGGCACTGATCAGCGCTCCAAACATGAGCCCAATAACCTTGCAACCGTTCACGGAAGCCGAACTCAACAAGTACGGGTTCGAAAAGTTACGGGCGCAGGTCCTCGCGGCGGCAGAGAAGAACAACAACGCGAGCCACCTCCCGGCCGCGAACGGTGAGGTGGGACTGAGCGAGCAAGAAAAGGAAGAAATATCGCGCGTCCGTGAGGAGACGGCAGCGCTGTTGAAGCGGAAACTCGACGAGAGGGAGGCAAGGCTCCGCGAAATCGAGAGGGAGATGGAAGAGAAGGAGAAGATACGCGAAGTGGAGCGCAAGGTGTTCAGGAAGAAACTGGGCGGTGGGAAGGAGGTGTGAAAATGCGCCGAAGCTTCTGTCGGAGAGTGTGTCGATCTGATTCTTAAGCGGGAATGAATGCCTTTGAATTGCTCTTGGGGCAACGTGTGCTGCGGCGATCACAATCAGGCGCTTTGAGGAAAATCAAGCACGTGTGATTCCATGGATGATGCTCTAATACGATTGAAGTCTATGGGGTTCAGCAAACCGAAACCATCTGAGCTACTCCCAACCCGTCATCTATGCGGCCGCCCTCTATGAAGCAGGCGTCGTCTTTGTTTGGATCCCACAACGGCAAAGCAAGGAGATTCAGAAACGCTGTCAACTCAAAGACCAACCAGGAAGCAAGGCCAAAAGAGCAGTTGAGCGCCAGTCCTCCAGGCTTGCTCCAAATCAGTTGGGTAATACCAGATGAAATATGCTTGCCTGAGCGTGTGTTGCTTGCACGGTGAGTGAGGACGTCTGCGCCTCCGTTCTCTCATCATCCGATCAATGGAGCTTCTGGATGTGGCTTCGCTGTTGCGATCCTCGGTGGATTCTCCAGTGTCCGGGCTCTCATCTCTATTCGGGGCGTCGTCGGATTGGGTTGTCTTGCATTCCATCCTTTCGTCGTGGTCTTGATCATCGTCGTTCAAGTCTGGCGTCGATACTCATTCTGTCTGAGGGCGCTGAGTCGCTGTGCCTCCTTCTCGTTCTTGTCAGAGGAGACGCCCTCCTCACCACTTCCCTCCTCCTTTCCCTTCCTCAACCACACAGCGTCAACTTCAAGTCGACCCGCTCCCTGCAGTCATGCTGCTGGCCCCAGTCGTTGTGGACGTTGTACGAAGCCGTACAATACTCCTCGCCAGGCGCACACTCTAGCGGGACACAGTTGCCCTCAGTGACGTCTGGGACCAGGGTGATGCCCTCGTCCTTGAAGGCATACCTGATGCCGACCTTGCCAACGTACGCGCCCAACCCGTCCTCGTCGCTGACGATGGCTTCCCCATTATGGGCGTCCTCGTTGAGCCACCCGGCATCTCCGGCATTAATCATGCTGAGATCGTACCAGGTCCTCTGGAAGGTGTTGTCCCAGGTCCACTCGAACTGGACCGGCGCCGTGTTCTCGATGTCGGTGCGCCACAGTTTCCAGCTGATGCCCATGCGAGGGTCGTGGGCGAAGGGGTGCGAGAGCTCCGCACCTGGGTGGAGGATGGAGTAAATCTCCTCCGGCGGGGCATCGAGCCCAGGACGCGGCGCGTGCACAATGTTGTTGTGCACGGGAAAGGGGCAGTTGTTGTACACAATCGACTGGCCTATGTAGCCGTCGCGGCGATCCTGTATCTCCGCCAGCGCGCTGGGGTTGGCGCTGACGATCTCGTCGGGCGCTTCAGCTTTTGCCTTCAAGGCCTCTGTTGCAGTTGTTTCAGCGCCATCTTCTGGCGCAGCCCATTCTGCTTCCCCCTGCTTATTTGCGGCAGAGGTGTACTCCGCTGCGCCGTAGCACGCAATAGGAGGGATGGTTCCCGGCGTCGGAGAGGGCCTCTTGGCGATCGTTTTGATGCCCGCGTCGTTGATGTAGGTGGGCAGGGCAGAGACAAGGATGCCCATCCGGGCAACGATGAGCGCAACCGAGGCGGCAACTGAGAACCGCATGATAGAAACCGTGTGGATGATGTCTTCAAATGATATTGACTGTCAAAGCTGTGTTAGTTCTTCGGTCGTCCGTCACGGCTAAGTTGGTGTTCTCTTCAACTTACAGGCGTACAACGAGCTCGCAACAGTGACAGCTGCGGCGATGAGAGACCCGGAGATGTACGCTGTGCTCGTGAAGGCCATCAAAATTCACTGCATAAGTTGCGTGAACATGAATCCTCTCCGTTGATGTTGTCTAGGCAAAGAGAGAAGGTTGAGGTTCCTGAAGTGCTTGGTGATGGCGAGGCTAAGGCCGAAGCAAGTGTTGAAGACGATAAAGAGCAATATGCCGAAGTATCTACACAAGAAGATGTCCAAGTATGAAGAGGCAAGAAGGTAGAAGATGCTGAAGGATGGAAGATTCGAGGAAAGCAGGGTGCAGACTGCTTTCTTATAGTTGTGCAGCTCTCCATGGACGGCCATTGAGTTTGGTCTTCCCATCCTTCATAGACATTGCGTGATCAAACGTGTCTGGTTCAGCCCTCGTTCGCTCGCGATCTATTGACAAACAACCCAATGGATGGGGTGGAGAAGGGAGTAAAGGTGGGTGGTGGAGACCGAAGATCCGTCTGCCTTTGCGCAAGGCTGAGCCTCGCAGATCACGAAAGGAGGAGGGGAAAACCAGATGGAGAAGAAAAGTGGAGAAAGCCCCGTTGTTTCTGGTGGGTGGGAGGAGACTCTGAGGAAACCAAGGCAGATCTCAGAGCCATGACGACAAACAAATACTAAGAAGATTCAATAGACAAGTAGATCGATATTCGGTCTCGCTTTTCGCCCGTATATTTAACATATTTTCTTGAATAAGGGTCGGTGAGCAGCATTGGACCACGACCAAGTAACGCCTACTACCAGAGGTTCATCGCAAAATTCTCCACGAGCAGACCAAATAGCGGGATGTCGTCTAAAGGAAGGTTCATATTCCTATGAATGGGGCGCATGCAGGGAGCTGGCTTCCAAAATGGTGTCGAACGGGGAACAAACGCTTCCGCCGGATTGATGGGAGGGCCGGGAGATAGGCGCTTATTGGCAGATCGCGGCGAACTCAATGAGAAGATATGTCTGGCCTCGCTGCCCAGTCGGGGCAAATAGATTAAGTTTCGCTTGGCGATCTTTGGCCTCGCCTCAAGAATTAAGTTGTTCAATATTTGTCGTGGTGGAATGGAAGAGGATGGAGCGAGCGGCTGACCCGACTACTTTGACGGCAAGGCTGTGGAGAAAAAGGGGAGGAATTTGTGTCTAACTTTGCGCAGACACCCATCACTTACACAGTATTGAAATTTATGTATCAATCAATACATCTCATTACCTGTTCGAGTTAGTATCATTTTGCATGCGTGGGCATCTCCCTCTACATCTGACCGGGGCATCGCTCGCGGCGAGTTGGCGTTATGCTATGCAACTCTCATCCTGTACCATACATAGTGTAGACAAACGCCGTCCAGAGCTGAGCAGAAGAGGCTATCGCTGTTTTGCTTGCATTTGGAAGTCTATACAGGACAGGAAGCGATCCATACAAGAGGTAAACCTTGTCAAAGATAGAGACACCTATGGGATCTACTATCTAATTGTAGAAAATGGCGCGTGCCTGATACTTTGCGGTGTCGCAAAAACGGAAGTGCTGGGCAGGCAACATTTGTGCTATTTTTCATGCAAACTTGACAGTCGGTACATGCTTCCTTTTTCGTCATTCTGGAGAGGAAAAGAAGCGGAGTGGTTGCTGTAGGCCTATATGTGCTAAAATGTTCGTTCTGTCCTGTCCTATGGATCGCTTGAGAGAGAACATCAACTGGCACCGTGGCTTTAGAACTCGACTGACTGGCTGTGTGGACCAAATGGAAATTGGAACCAATGCGTCCACGCAGTGTTTTCAGGGTATGGGTGCAGTATGTAGGGTTTGCGTTATTAAACAGAAATATATGCTGCCGGGACAGCTGGTATAGATGGGAACCAAACAACGATGCCCACCAGCTTCATCCTAGTCAGCCTCCCCATAATATCCTAGACTGATTTTCCACACAAACGAGAGACAGCTTCAAAGTTACCACTTTTCCTCGGCCTGGCACAAACCCTAGCATTAGGCAACAACATCAGAATTCACAGTTCGATCCCGCAGGTCGCCCTTCTTCTCGTCCTGCTCGACTGCAGAGCTGGAGCTGTCCACTTCCGCGTCGTGGATCTCCGCCTCAATAACTGGACCGTGATAGAACGTCTTGCCGCGGAGGTACCAGTAGACAATGGCACAGAGCAGGATGAATGCCAAGAAGGCTATTGCGTAGTTCATATTATCAGCCGTGACCGGTCTGATGGTTGGCATGAGGAAGATGATGGTGACAAAGAAGGTCCACACACAAGCCCACAGGTTGACGGCGAAGGAAAATTTACCCAAATGCCATGGACCGGGTTCGAATTTGCCGAAGACGAGCTTGCAGACAATGGGAATGACATAGGACCAGTCCAGAGCAATGGCGCACACATTAAATACGCCCGCAATCGCGATGTACGAGCCCAGAGCAATCAGGTTGATGGCGATGCACCAGAAGATGCTGATCCATACCGCGTAAAGTGGTGTCCCCGTCCATCGGTTGATGATGGTCCAGACCTTGGAGAAGGGAATTAGTCGATCACGGGAGAAAGCAAACACGGTGCGGGCCAACGCCTGCGTGGCCGTCCAGCAGACAAACTGTAGGATGAGGAAGGCGGAAACGGTGAAGAAAATGCTGGCCCCCTTCCCCAAAGAATTGTAGAAGATCTGGGCAACTGGTTGATAGATCGGAGAGGCGAGAATCTCGGCCGCATCTCCCATGCAGAAGCAGAGGACAATGTTGAAGAGCCACCCGAGGACATAGGTGCAGATCATCGCAAGAGAGATGGCCCACGGAGCTTTGATCTCGGGCTCGTTGATTCTACACAGATTAGCCAATGGATGCCTGAGCCACAAGGCATACAACACTTACTCCTCGGTAATGTGGGCTGTAGCATCATAATCTGTCATCGTCCACGAAACTGACAAAAAGCCAAACAAGAAGGACCATCCGATCGGTGTCCACCCGGCGCTTCCCTCAACATGAGTGAAAACGTAACTTGCATCATGTTTGTTGTCTGTCACAGCGAGGAGGGCGATCGCGCAGGCAATCAGGACTCCAAAATGGTAAATGACATAGGTCTTTGTCATTTTCTCCATCCAATAGGTCGAAAGAGAGTTGACAAGGCCGCATAGCACGGTCAAGGCTGCCATGACTCCAACCGTCTGGTTGGTAGTGGGGAACCATTGAAAGTCGCGACCGATGGAAACTGCAGCCAGGAGAAGCTGAGCGGAGCCATACTCCGAGGAGGCTATACCGGCGACCTGTCCAAGGAGATTGATCCATCCAACAATCCAACTGATGGAGGGGACCCATTGCTTCGGAGCCAGTCGAGAAACGGTGTAGTACAAGCCACCACAGGTCGGGTAGGCGGAGACCAGCTCGGCAACGGAAAAGGCAATGCATAAACATCCAGCACCTGAGATTAGCCAGCACCACACGACAGAGGCAGATCCTCCAGCCTCGAGCGGATAGATGAAGGTGGTCGCGGTGGTCGCAAACAGCCCGGAAATGCTGACGGCGAAGGAAAAAGTGGAGAGGTAGCCGAACTCGCGCTTGAAAACCTGTTGCGCGGTTAGGACAGCCTTGTTCTTGTTACTCAGTAGCGGCAATCCGCATTCCACATACCGGCTTGTATCCAAACTGCTCGGCGAGGGCTCTGTCGGCCGCACTTAACTCGTCCAATTGGACAGTCCTGCGCCGGCCTTGAGCATCTTGAATCTCAACTGTGCCAATGCTATGCCTGCGCAAATCGCCCGCGTCGATGGGGCCTAGGGTAATTTCTTTGTTGGCCATGTTGGCGAGTAATACTCGAGAATTTCCTTCTATTTTGCAGTCCTTCGCTGGAGGCCAGTGGAGGTCAGAGTCTTTGTAGAGCAGGTGGTTGGCGTATGTTTGCAGCGACTGATTTCAGATCAGCGCCACTTGCGGTAGCGAACAACGCGTTTGACGCAGGAGCAGTAGAAGGTCACTCTTCCTCCACGTCGGAAATCGATTGCATGTGCCGGCTGTTGGTAATGCGGCTGGAATGGAGTGACAACCCGAGCTATAGGTCCAGTGCGAGCTGGTTGGGATCGCAAAACGGCTCAGCGCACACCGTGTCGATAGGTTCCTGAGGTCAAGATGGAGAAAATAAGAAACAGAGAGTTTCTGGCCAGGTCTGGGGAACAAGAAGGAGGAGCAAAGGAGGCTAGCTGTCTGCGATCCTGAGGACGCTGGTGAGGCTTGATCTACTCATCGTTGCATTGGTGCAGGGACTCTCTCGGCGATGGCGGTGGAGGTGGAGATGTGATGTAGCCATGATGCCAACTGGGTCCGCTTAATGGAGGAGAAAGAATCTTCGATAGACAGCTCGGGGGCCACAGTGGATTGGGCAGATTCGACAGAACGAAGTTTGCCAAATACGATGGCGTAGGATGGTGAGTGGCCGTAGTCGAGGCAGATGGATCGAGCAGAGTGTCACTCTACGTAAATAGGGCCTGCAGGCTTGCTGCATGGCGACTCGACAACGATTGAGTAGGGAGCAAGGGAGGAACCGCCCTCTGCATGTACTTGGTATTGCTGGGCGTGGCAATGGACTGACAAGACCCATCAGGCGGGCTACTTCGGCTGAGGCTTGAACCAAAGATGCCACTTGGTGCCACCTAAAATCCTTCGATTAGCCTGACCTGGAGAAAGCATGGAGACATCTTCCAGGCACGAGACTATCGGATGATTCGACAGAGGCGCCCCAAAGCCGCCAGAGCCACCCAGAGCCGGCCTAGAGCCCACTGGTAGCCCGGCCGAAAGCCCACCCGTAAACAAACTTCGACCCCTCAAAAGTCTCCACCCCTGACGTTTGCCCCCGCAGGCAAAGATTGCTTGGAGTCTTGGACATCGAAAAGAAAGAAAAGGAAAAAATAAGAGCACGGAGGGAAAAAAAGGGAAAAGAAAATGGATGTCAATGCCTCAAACAGAATGGATCATGCTGCTGTCAATCCCTGTAGCCCCCATCTGCACAACACCGTCATGGATTAATCAATTTCTGATAACAGCTCCGGTGCTGTGGCTACTCGCTTGCTACCTGCTGATAAGCAGTGGGCTGCCGTTGAATTCTGGATTCTGATAAGCCTACCTACCAAGCACATACCAAGAAGGTACTGAGTAGTAATGTGGAAGAGATGGGTGGCATTTCCCTGCCTGGTGGCTAGAGTAACTCCTCGTTTTAACCATAAAGAGCTATCATTTGCGGGCTGCTTCTCTCCTCTTGCGACATTCGTAACAAAGGTCCCTGTGATAATATGCAAGCCTTGCCGGCCCGTTCGAAGCCGGCTGACACCAATACGAGATACCCATCGCCTCAAAGTGCCCTGTTTGTGTTAGTTGCAAGATACGGCATTTTTTAAGACGGCTACCTCTCGCGTGGCCGCCATGCAGAGTTTGGCGCCCCATGGTCACTCGGGCGGTTCGACCAAGAACCGTTGTGTCGAAATCATTGGGATTCATTCAGCTATCTGTTTCTGTCTGGCATTCATTTCTGGGACATTTAGTTTCTGAAAGAGCCAAGGCGGAGCCTGCCACAACCAGACTTGCTGCCATCTCGTCCGGGAAAGCATCAAGTGGACAGACTGAGCCGACCACGCTGAACCATTCCCTCATCCCCTGTCCTCTGACACGGTTTTTCAGAAACCCCATGTGACCATTGTTCTTGTCTCTCGAGTCACTGGATTCCAGCCATGACAAAGGCGAGCGTAGTCGATCCTGTCAGTCGATGGTCATGTTGTTCACCACGAATCCAGCTTACCATCCGCCACCACCAACCTCGGCGTTGTTGGAACCCCAATTATCGTTGGTTGGTGCAGCAGCCCCGCCAGACGCGCCCCAAGCACTGCTGGCAGCATTGGTGTCACCACCTGCGCCCCATACATCTCCGGCACAAGCAGTGTTGCCTCCATTACCACATTTATCACCAGCAGCATCACCCTCGAACTCGGGCCCCTCCTCTTCGTCAAAATTCAGATCGCCACCTTCGGGCTTGAAATGTGCGAGGAATTCGGGCACATCCTGGTTGGTTTCGAGTAAGATCTTGGTGAGGAATGGACCCAATGCCTCGTCCTTTTCATTGTAGAAGGAAGTGGCAAGGCCTTCGTTACCGATGCGAGCAGTGCGACCTACTTATACTTAGCTATAAAGAAAGAGACGTTGTTCAATCTGACGTACCAATGCGATGGACATACTCGTTCTTCCCATCGTGATCGGCAGAAGGAAGATCGAAGTTGATGACGTGCATAACATTGCTAAACAGTGTCAATGAGGTATTACGCTTTTTTTTTTTTGGCAATAGCTCAAGCTTACCGGACATCGAGGCCACGGGCAGTAACACCAGTCGCAACGAGAATCGGAGTCTGGCCACCTTTAAACGAACGCAACGCATCCTCACGCTCACTCTGGGTTCGATCAGAGTGGATGGACGTAGAGGGAAGACCCAGGTTGAAGAGGTAATCGTCAACGAAGTCGGCAGTCTTCTTGAATTTGACGAAGATCAAGGTACGCGAGGGCGGCATCGAGATCAACAAGTCGTACAGAGCCTTCATCTTTTTGTCACCATCACACCACATGATCTAAACGAGATTAGCTGAGAGCCAATTCGGGTTGTGAGATTGAAACATACGTGTTGCTTGACGTTAACATGGACGCTGCCAGTGCGGCCAACACTGACGTGGACGTAGTCGGATGCAAGATATTTGGCGGCTAGCTTACGAACACGCTTGGGAAAAGTCGCGCTGAAGAGGAGATAACGATGATCACCATCAGTATTGGCATCTACTTGAGGTCAGCACACGTAGCAGCACATGAATAGCAGGAAGGAACTCACCGCCACCACCCATGATCTTCGACATCTCTCCCCCCCAATCATCGTGAAGCATTTCATCAGCCTCGTCAATGATTGTGTATCGGACACGGGCAAGAGACAGAAGCTCAGGACGACTCATGAAGTCGAGGAGACGTCCTGGGGAGGCGACAAGCAGGTCACAGCCACGCTGAAGCTGAGCGGCTTGGTCTCGAATAGGAGCACCACCATATGCGACGCACGGACGAAGCATAGAGCGATAGCAGAGGCGACGAGCTTCATCAAAGATTTGACAGCAGAGTTCGCGAGTCGGGGCGACGATAAGGATCAACGGCTCAGCGCGGACTCGATCGCGGAAGGGATCGAAACCTTGACCAATGTTGGGTCGAGGCGCAGCAAGCTTCTTGACCTTACCCATCAACTTGGAGATGGTTGGGATCAGAAAAGCTGCAGTTTTACCGGACCCTATCACGCTGTTAATCAGGAGACGAAGCATTCTTAGGACAGTCTTACCGGTCTGAGCAATGCCAATCATATCATGACCAGTCAACACCGCTGGAATGGTATAGGCCTGGATGGGGGTCGTGGCACGGTAACCACAGAGCTCGATGTTTTCGAGAATGACTGGGTGCAAGCCAGCATCCTTAAACTAGACAAGGTGAGGCTGAGGAACTTATGGTGGATAGAGGGCACTTACGCTAGACACGGGGTTGACGCGAGTCTCGGATTCGACCGTGACCTCGACAGTGGTAAGACTGGAAACAATCAGCAGGATTTAATCGTGATACCGGAGCTTTGTTTACTTCTCGAACTTGATGCCAGCACGATTGATATGTTCGCCACGGAAGAGATCTTTCTCAAGCTTCTCGTCGCGTGGCCCGACATCACCGTACTCTTCCTTCCATTCGTACTTGGCTGCGTCGTGAGACCAACTACTGGTGGCATATCTACTAACGGCCGCTTCTTCAACGCTAGCTTCGTCTTCAGCTGCAGCTTCAGGCTCGCCGTCATGGCCGTTGAGCAGGGCGGTTGGGGCACGGGAGGTGTAGTTGTTCGCTTTCGGCTCGACCCAGCCAGATTGGCGAGCCAGTTTAATGGCCTCCTCGTTCTTGGGAGGACCAGCGGTGGGCTCAACACCGTTGGAGGGCGTGATGTCAGCAAGAACTGACGCCACATCAGCAGTGTAAAAAGAGGAAGCCATGTTAACTGAAGGACGTAAACACGACTCGAAGAGATGAAGGAACGAAAGGACAAGGTGAGGTGATGGTGATGGTGGTGGAAGAGAAAGGGAAAAGTATTGAGAACGCAAGACGCGGAGATATTTAAAGGGCTGCCGCCCAGAGTCAATCTGGCAAAATACACTGGAAATCAACCGTACCCTAGCAGAATCATTCGGGCTCTGTAATCCAGGTGGATAACTGGCGATGGAGCAACGGGAAACGAAGTCGTCGCTTGTGGCGGTCGCTGGTGGCGGTCGACGATGTCGCCGATGATGTCGTCGATGATGTCGTCGATGACGGGTTAGCAGCAGCTAAATTCCAGACGAGAGGGCAGGAGAAGGCAGCCGCAGAATAGAGCTGGTCTCAATCATAGGCTTCTTGCTCAGATCAGTACGATTTCCAGTTGTGCTTCATTTCATCACCTTCTCTATCACGCAGAACCTGGAAACGTTGAAGATTTCACTGCGCCTTTGCCCTCTCAGTTCCCCTGTGCGTCGAGAACGGGAACACACTTCTGCTCACTCAAGATGACGCCGAGTCCATGTTTGTTTGCCTGAATCTCCGTCCAAATGCCATTTCCTGCAAGACCTTCCGTTCCGCTCCGCCATCATTGATCGGACAACATAGGATATGGTCCTTTCCGAGGCCGCTTTGCAGAAACGCAGAGATTTGGAACGCTCAATTCGCCTTTTTTCTATCACCAGACCAGCATGAAGCTTTCCAGAAGCCAGCGAAACCAGGCAGTCGAAAAAGAAAGAGGTGGGTTCAGCAGCACAAGGGTGAATCCAACTAGAGGGGAAAGGCGGCGGGAAGACTGCAGCTTCCTGCACGGTGATGAGACCATACCTAAGGGAAGAATATGGGTCACCCCAGATGAGCGACCTCATTTCAGTCCAACGATTACATCTCAAGAACATCCAAGGAGAAAGGCCGCCGTGGGGAGGGCAAAGAAGGTCCACATCGAGCGATCCCAATGCACCCAGTCCTTCCATAGAGACCTGTCCACCTGACTGCCCTCTGAGCGGCGACCGGGGTTACGAGCAACCTCCAAAGGTGTGAGACCGCCGACGGACTTTGGAAGTTGTAAATTGGCTTTTTTTCCGTTGAGCGTGAGCAGGAGAGAGACATCGACTGATGCCGAATTAAGCTTCATGAAGTGGACGATGGCGTCCAGGGGGCTAATGCTTGCCCGTATTCCAACAAGCCCATGACAGAAATGAGGCGAGTTGAACATGATATTGGGTAGTTGAAGGCCGACAAATATGCGACGAGTCGAAGGTGCCATGGGACAAGGTGGCGACCCCTTTCAAGGTTGGTATCATCATCACCTCCGATACTACTTGGACTGCGGATTCCAACAACTTGGAGTGACTATCGACACGAAGGGCTGCCAACTCTGCAGCACAATGAAAGAACTGGACAAATCCGGCTTTATGCGCTCAACGTGTATGATTTCAGGCAGTTATCTAGTCTTCTAGCAAACCATGTTGTTTTGAAATTCTGTCTTTGAAACCAATAATGATAGCGCAGCAAGATAGCAATCGAATGGACCGGCAAAGTTTTAGTGATGCACGTGTACTGCTCCTGTTCACTGACGTTCTCCATCCGCTCGTCATTCAACATAGAGCGTGGGATAGGACCTCTTCTAGGCCTCCGCACCAATACGTTGCAAGCAAGCCGAGGCACGTAAGTTGGAAGAGGATCTCATGGCGTGGCAACGCTCGGAAAAAGAAGACAATGCTGCGAGTTGAACTTCCATAATATCTTGTCGAGCAGGAAGAAATGGTGGCGGCTGCACTGCTCGGGCCCCAATGTCAGGATGACGAGAATCAGCTGCTGTCCTGATCATCGCAAAAATAGAAGACGCATACAGCCCTATGCCACGGGGGTGAGCACAGAAGGGTCCGTGAAGAGTAATCCCAACGCATCATTAGAATATGAAGTACTCAATCGAGAACTGTCGGCCATTTGTTTGTGTGTGTGGGAGGTCAGCCGGGCTATTTAATCAAGGTGAGCACAGTAATTCGACTCCACCACCTCGTGTAGCTGGTATACATGTCTGTGCGGAAGTGGATTGCTCTTGCTGGTGCTGTTTCATGTCTAAAGAGTTTAATTCCCCTGCAACTGCTGAAGAACTTTTTGGTGGCAATGCTGAAGTATTGGTGGCAGTGAATCAATATCATATCTTGTTTAGAATGAGATAGAGTGTTAATTCGTCAGATTATCCTTGACTGGATGGAAAGGCGATATCGAGATGTCGGGTGCATTCACATTTGGTTTCTGTGCTCCATAGTACTCGTGCGGAGTATACAGCCTTAACACGTAGCGCACTTCCTCAGCTGCAAAATTCTGTCTTGGCATGAAATTGAGATCCTCCCCCACATTGAATTTCAGAGGCTTTGTGACTGCGAACTTGACAGCATCAACTCTTTCTCGCTGAGATCAGAACGCCAACATGACTACCCAACAAGGCGCTATCAGCAAGCGCCGCAAGTTCGTTGCTGACGGTGTATTCTACGCCGAATTGAACGAATTCTTCCAGCGCGAGCTGGCTGAGGAAGGTTACTCTGGTGTCGAGGTCCGAGTCACCCCAACTGTTACCGATATCAGTACGTCTCCCTCTACGTCGATTCCACAGGGAAATTTATTAGACAGCGAATATCCCAATTACACATGGAAACTAACTTGCGATTTCTCTTCAGTCATCCGCGCTACGCACACCCAAGAAGTCCTGGGAGAACAAGGCCGACGCATTCGCGAACTCACCTCTCTGATCCAGAAACGCTTCAAGTTCCCCGAGAACAGCGTCTCCCTCTATGCTGCCAAGGTGCAAAATCGTGGTCTCTCCGCCGTCGCACAATGCGAGTCTCTCAGATACAAGTTGCTGAACGGCCTGGCCGTGAGACGTGCTTGCTACGGTGTTTTGCGGTTCATTATGGAGAGCGGAGCAAAGGGATGCGAGGTCGTGGTTAGTGGAAAATTGAGAGCCGCTCGGGCAAAGAGTATGAAATTCACGGTATGAAATTCCCTCCCATATCACACCATGCCTCAAAAAGTTCACCGGGGCTTAACTGATCATTGTTGAAAAACTATAGGACGGCTTCATGATCCACTCCGGTCAACCCGTCAACGATTTCATCGACTCCGCAACCCGACACGTCCTCCTCCGCCAGGGAGTTTTGGGCATCAAAGTAAAGATCATGCGCGGCTCCGACCCCGAAGGAAAAGCTGGTCCGCAGAAATCGCTTCCCGATAGCGTCACCATTATCGAGCCTAAGGAAGAACAGCCTGTCATGCAGCCCATGAGCCAGGACTACGGTGCAAAGGCATTGGCCGCTCAGCAGGCAGCGCAAGATGCCAGGGCAGCGGCGGAGGCGGAGCAGGAAGGTGGTGCTGCGGAGGAGCAATTCGCCCAGGAGTAGGAATCCCGAGATGCTGGTGCTTCCTCTACAGTTGCGACTGTAGGGACAGCTGGTCAGGCCGTTTATGATGGTGCCGGTGAAGAGACGCTGGCTTCCCCTCCAGGCCCGCCTCAGCCTGTCTACGATTCTGCTGGAGTGGATGTTTGGAGTATGGACAATTCTGGAGCAACAGGTTGGTGATTCTGGTGATCCAAATCCCGCATAGCACATCTCCGGCAAGCAAAACGATTGTGCAAAGAGAAAACATGACCCAAGAGGCTTATCTTAGAGAATGGTCTCGCACGCATAGTCCTTGAATGCATGTAAAAAGAACAGAGCAACATGTCATGGGCTTCTATCTAAAGAGCATCGGGCAGACACCGAATTCTTGCTTCCAAATTACAAGAACACCTCGACATTGAACTCCAACGCACTGACTGGATATCTCAACTCGAACTTCTCCAACACCGTCGGATGCAATATCCCGAAGCTCCCAATAACGAAATCTCTCCCGGCAATTCTTGCGTGAATGCTCGCTCCGTGACCAGGGAAATACGTCGCGTTGTCGAATTCTTGGATCCAGTATTCCATTTTCTTTCCGTTCCCTGCTCCATCTCCGCGTATCTCGAGCCCTTCCTCGTGAGTGATGAAAGCCGTCTTCAGCATGGCCATCAGACGGTCGAGGAGGCCGTGGACAACTTCGAAGCCTGAGGTTTTGCCGTACCATGCAGCAGCGAAGTGTCGCTCATTCCGGGCCTTGCGTTCCAAGCTAGCATCCTTGAAGGCGACGTCACTGACCTCGAAGATCTTGATTGGGATGGAGTGATGCTTGTTTTCACGGAGAGTCTTTAGCAACCCTGGCAGCAACGTCGAGCGCACGACCTGATATTCCGCCGTCTTTGGATTCGCCAACCTCACCGCAGTGTTGCCGTCATCCTTGCGATTCAACCACGCGAAATTCTCGTCATGCGAACAGAGGATGAGCGGAAGGACCTCCGCCCAGCCCGCCATGGCGGCTTCGAGACGCAGAATGTCGGAGAGTTTGTTAATTGCCAGTGGTGCGGCGATGGTGGCACCAACTTTGGGAAACGCGCGCGGCAACTTGTTGAAACCATAGGCGATGCAGACATCTTCCATGATATCTGCTTGATGGAGAATATCTGCACGTGTAGGAGGAATATTCACGTCGATAAGATTCGCGTCGGACTTTGAGGGACGCGCAGCGTAGGACATACGTGTCAAGAGATCGCAAATTTCCTGCGGTAACAGCGAGAGACCGCAGCAGGCATTGATATAGTCAACTTCAGCCACTGTGGAGCGAGGTGTAAGATCAGGGACTTGTCTCGATTGACCGTTGTGTTCAGAGATGATCTGGATGGGTTCGACCGTGAACTGATCTGAGGTGTATTGAGAGAACATGGTAACCATCATGTTAACGACGATTTCTAACTTGGTTTTATCCGTGGCCGTGACTTCCATAAAGACGTTTTTGGTGTTGAGAGTGATTTTACTGAGATCACCGTTGATGATTGGAGGCAAGGAGCAGACATTCCGGTTGGAGTCATAGATCACCGGGTAGA